AGGCCTCCTCACTGTAGGCAAGCACTTTACAGGACTAGCCTTTTCCCAGCCCGTCCCCTGCCCATCTCTCTGCCCTTTTTTGAAATTACATGTCTAGGCCTTTATGTGGCCAGAGGGTTGATCTTGAACTGGATGGGTGGATTTGAGTGGGTGCTGGGAAACCACCCACAAATATCTGAATTCTTTCTAGATAGTACATCATCAAACAAAGTGCTAGGGGAAATATGGGGAAAACAAATATGGTCCCTGGCCTAAGGAACTTATAAAGACAGAAGCAAATCCTTGTTTTTGTTAGGTGGCAAATGGCAGCTCTTAACATACAAAATGCCCTCATCACAGTGCCACACCAGATTCCTTGTTAATCTTTGCACTTCCAACAATTTTTAAACCACACAAAATAAAAATTTGATGTTTATTAGCAGAGGCCAAGGTATGCATAACTATATGCACTGAGGGCGTAACACTGCTTGGACCTTCAATCATGTTGAAACCTAAACAAAACACCTACACTTAGACTTGTGTATTCAAGCAGTCTACAGAAATGAGTTCATGGCTTTGTTTAAAACACTGACCACGGGAGTTGACTTCACTTTCTTTGGCTATCTATTCAGTACTAGAATTGACAGAATTTAGGATTTTTTTTTTCATTAGTGCACAAGGGTTGTACTAATTTACAATCCCATCAATAACATTTTTATTTGTTCTCCACATCTTTGCCAGCACAATGGGATTCTGTTCAATCATGAAATCCTGTCACCTAAAACAGCATGTACAGGCTGAAGGGCATGTCCAAGGAGATATGTGTGGTATATAATACAGACACATCCACTATCTCACCGATGCAGAAGATAATTCAAGTACTTCACTGAAGACCTCATAGTTGTTATCAGAGACTGACAGGAGTAGTAATAAACTCTGGTGTTCTCCCAAACATCAGGGTGAATTACCAATAATGTACTAACATGAGAGAGGACTTCAAAAGTAGTCACTGAAATAAGCTTAAAGTGACTACTGACATCTTGCTGTTGGCTCTTTTACATCACTGGACTAATTAGCTTTCTGGATAGGGTAAGTCAATGTGGAGTTAGTGTCTGGACCACTCTCTAAGTAAGCCGTGTGATGGAAACGAACTAAGATAAGGAGAATTTCCTGTGAGGACACGTGCAGACTTTCTCACTAAAATCACCAGATTATTATTCAAGCTTAACTATGGCTACCATGCCCTTATATCTAGAAGTAATGCAAGACGGGAAGGCTTGGCACTTTGTGAGCCTCCAGTAAGTTGTTCTCTTTTGGTGGAGTTGTATTAAGCCTTTGAAGTTTTAATGATACACAGTTCAGGGACAATGCTAGACTAGGACACAGAAGACTTTGAGTTGGGTTTGATGGCCAGCACTGAAAAATATAATAATAAAGACCTCCCCCCCCCCATACCTCACTATCCCCCCCCCCAAAAAAAATAAGGCTTCTCATTTTTCAGAGCCTCATGCAGGACTACTTTACAAAACTGAGTGTCCTAGCACATGGTGACTGAGCTCTCAAGCAGAGAGATGTTCCATGATTGGCATTAAGAAGAAAAGCAGACTCCCAGGTGCTTCTGAGGATACTGTAAGTCCAGGACAGAACTAGGACCTCTCAAAAACTCAGAAGTCTTGGGTAACCCAGTGCAGGTCATTCTTTTACTCTGACCCCAGAGAATTCAGCAATTCACCAGTAATTTTGAGCTCTCTTGACCTTCCAAGATAGATTATTCCAAAATGACTCTAGCAAATCATGTGTCAGTTCCTATTTAAAAAGACAAATGGGAATTTCTGACAATACTGGAAAATACATTCCTCATTACCATGTCAACTTATAACAAAGACGAGTGGACAGAATTGGGGGGAGGGTGCCAAAATGGTCTCTTTTAGATCAAATATTGTACTGTGGAGTGACATCATATATCCTAGGCAAGCAAACTCTTGAAAAAAATGGTGACTTGCAGGTCTGAGGATGTAGAAAATTTTTGGGTGGTAAGCAGCCCAACAAAGAGAGAACATTAAGTTTACACATACCTACAATTTAAAACAAATTTTGAACACTTGAAAATATGAATTACTAGGTAGGTACATATGCCATGTGTCCCTGAAAGCAGCACTGAACTGATCTCAAGAGGCATTTGAATTCTGCTGGCTTTCCTCAGGTCCAAAGTCTTCATAATAAGCTTTTGCACCTTTCTCATCATCTGTAGCTGAGAATGTTTTGTTACTCTGTACTTGTATCTACTGTGTCTAATACTCTTCAGTTTCTCTGCACCCTTCTATCAACCCTCTAACAAAAGCCTCAGATATTAAAGCATTTTAACTGATTCCCTGCAAAGTTATGACTAGAGTCCAGAGTGACAAGCAGTCCAATTCACGACACACCTATAAGCACATTAACTATTTTGTACACTTTATTTAAAAACAAACAATACACTCAGAGCCACCAAAACTGGGTATCATTATTAGCTTATCCATACCCTGAATTTACAAAAGGAACTTCTTGCACCACAAAAATTAGCATTTGGATTTACATTAATTGATATTATAACTAAAATTGAAGACACCTGAATATCAAACAATCTGGCCCAGGGCTCACCAGCTGGGGGTTTGAGTGTGGAGAGAAAGGGTTATTTGGGATTCTGAACTGATGATACCCTGAGGTTCACTCCAGTAAACTGATGAGAAAACATAAAATAAGTGGTAATATTTTTAGTATTACAAAGAAGTGGTTCTTCCTAGAAATAGGCATTGGATCATATAGCTGGGGTGGGACAGGGGATACTCCTTAATCTGGAGAAAAAACAAGAGTGTGTGAAGGGGTCTAAGTTAGTTTTCTCACAAGAGGCCAACATCAGCCAATGAAGATAAAGAAGGAGGAGTGGAACATGGCAGACCAAGGACTTCCTAATGCTATATTGTTAACTCAGCAGCTTTCCATGAGTCTCTTAAAACCCCAGTCTCTGAGACTCTTTCAGAAAGAGCTAACGTACAACAGGGAAAAATCATTCTACATTAACAAGGCACTCACTGGTTCACAGCCTAGTAAAAACCCAGGCAAACATTGAAGTTAATTTAAATTAACATGAACTTTCTAATTTGCACCAGAGTGGTAATAATCATATGGTCCCAGTTAAATGAAATCTAAAGTTTGACCAGCCAAGATCCAGAAAGAATCCTCAGCACCACTTCAGAAACGCTGTTAAAGTAGGGAATCTAAAGCTCTCTTCTGATCTAACATATAACTCTTCCAAATTAAACACCTAACAATAAAACCAATCTAAAGGTTCTGTTAAATACTTGGTCAATGTGGAGTCCCTTGCACTGACATGGAGACCTAGCTGCATGCTTGATATGAGTAATTACAAAGCTTTCAGTAGCAAATGCAAAACTGATTCTAATTGTTTACCAGCTAAACAGAGATTTATTCATTTTCTCACCTTCCACTAAAATGGACTTTAGGAAATGACACAGCACACACACACACACACACACACACACACACACACACACACACACACACACACACACCAGATACTATTTTTATACAATCAGAATCCCAGTGTCAAACACTCTGCATACTACAGTCTAAACAAACAAGTAACATAGTCATGGAGGCAACTTCTAAGCCAGTGAAGTGAGTAATTATATACTTAAAGAGTGTGGAAGTAACTTTATTCAAAGAATACAGTAAGTTAAATGAAATCACAGTTCCCACCCCAGGTAAACTTTTTTTTGTTGTTTTGAGACAATGTAGCCCAGATTGGCCTTGAACTCCCTACATAGCTGGGGATAATCTTGAACTTGTGATCCTCTTGCCTCCACCTCTCAACTGCTAGGATTACAAGAGTGTGCCACTATGCCTTGAGTTTCTGGTAAATACAGTAACAATTTCATTCTTGGTTAAAAAAATATTACACATAACCAGGGACTAACTCCCCACTCATTAAGAACATGGGAAGTGTTTTAAGTCATCCTTGAGGAAATAAAACTAACAAACAAGCCAAAAAGAAAAAACAAAACAAAACAAAACACAAACAAACAAAAAAAAAAAAAAAACAAAACCCAAACAACAAGAAAAAAACAACAACAACCTAAAATTAATCCTAAATGTTTTGTTATGCTTTGTGAGGATACACGTGAGATGACAAAGCCTGGGAGAAGCACCAACATAGAATTTAAATTGCATCAACCTTCATTTCTAATGTCACAGAGATCTGTTCTAACTAAAATGGCAGTTATGACAATGAGGTAGATATAAGAGGACACTTCAATTTTCCAAGACTATTCTTAGGTGGAATTTTCATTAGTTCAAGCGTTTCATCTGAAAACAATTTTTACTGGTTCAAGCCTCATCAAATAAGAATTTCATGACATACTCTTGTGAACAGGGGAAATATATGAAATACTAAAAAAAGCAAGCTTTAAAAAAAAGTACATCAATGAGCAACCCATAGTTCTGGAGAACCAATACTTTGTTATCTGAAGTTGATTTTAATTAAAAAAAAAAAAAACCAAAAAAAAAAAAAAAAAAACCTAAAAAAAAACAGCTATTTATTCCTTACTGATTTTTCTCAGAAAGCATGTGTTTAAAGAGCACGAAGACTATGCATAAAAGTCCCCTGGAGTCCTAGAAGATGAGCAGATACATAAAAGACACTGACTATCACAAATCAGGATTTTTCACAGATTGGAAAACACACACACACACACACACACACACACACACACACACACACACACACACACACACACGCTCTCTCTCTTCCCCCTCCCACTCCCGACACAGATTCAATCTTCACCCTTGCTATAAGGCTGCATTTGTAGGGCTTTTGTTTTGTTTTGTTTTTTTAAAGGCACCTCTCACTTTCTAGCTATTGTCTTCTCGATGACACATTTTTGCCAAAAAGCTTGAATGTTCAATGGAAATAGTTCAGCACTGAGAATGGAATCTTTTCAATTCACATTTGAATAGCCAGGTTTTCTTACATTCAGATTTTAATAAACTAGAATGACAGTCTTTAAAACAAGCATGCTAGCCTATAATGAATATAATATATACAGTAATTTAAACACTTAGAACTATATATTATACTGTAAAAGCAAACATCACAACACTCAGCATACTCATCAACTACTGAGTATAATACCTCCAAAAATGAGAACACAAACAGTAAAATGCACTCATGGTTTATATATATATACATATGTGTGTGTGTATATATATATATCTGTCTGTCTATATATTATATATATCCCTATAATATATATAATATATATTTATAAAATATACATACATTTTTAGACATCTTTCAAATAAAGAATCATTATCTCCAAAAGAAATTTATAGCAAGAATACTGAAGGAATGGAAGTCAGATAAACAAATAATTTCTCACAAACTTCATTATCAGTGATACGGTTCAATTTTCTCCTTTAAGTTACAACTAAATGATTACAAAAGCTAAATACTTTGCATACTAATCATCTGTTTAATGGCAAAAATTGATAAATTTGTTCAATATAAAAATACTGAAGGTCATTATATCACTTATTTGTCTATGGTTGAGTAGCAAATGAGCTCCATGTGACAGCTGCATTTTGAGACGGATACTGTAAAGCTCCCAGAGACGTATCCATAGCACATGAAAATAAGGCAGGGACCTAACCCACCTGCTGATTTTCATACTATTCCAAAACAGTTCACCCAGAATATGTACAATCTGGTAAATATTTATGAAAGCATTTCAATGATTCTGAATCTTGAAATTGTTCATTTTGTGAATTTTCATTAGGATGGGGAAAGTCAGACAAATAAATAAATGTCCATGCTTCTACCATCTGGTTGGAAGATAGCTTTGGCTCATGTCCAGGCTGAGAGCAAACAGGGATACTTTAGATTAATCTTTCTATGTTCAGTTTTCAATGGCAAAACACACACTCCTAAAAAAACTTCCAACAGTTCTATCATTTGTATTACACTTTGCCTATCTTGGGATTATTTTCCACCCAATCAAGAGACAGAGAACAAACAGGGCAGCCACTCCTGGGTTTCCAGAATGTTGGTGACAAGAGTAAGATATATACTGAAGGCTTTGGAAAGTAATTAAAGCAGTAATTGTGGTCATAAATACACTACTTCTTCTTGAAAACTTCTAATATTCTGCAAATGTTGAGCTAGAAAACCCTTTTGCTCATTTTACAAAGGATGGAAGAATTTTACCCATCACAGTGTAAAATTTTGTATCTGCATGAAAACAAGCACTTACTTCATTTGTGTATACCAACCAATCTCTTAAGTCTGTTTGTTAACCAAAGCATAAAGATAAAATGTAGATTTTAAAATACTACAGCATGTCTATAGATCAACCAGGAAAATTTAGTATGGGTCTTATAATGTTAATGAAAATTTGCCTGCACACTGGAGAATTCTAAAAGGTCAACATTACCCATATCACCATGAGAATGCTACTTCAAAGAACAGATCACCAGAAATGCCATGGCTACAGCAATAGAATCATTATAATGGGTTATAATATTTATAGGTATAATATTTGTAAGACCTAGAGCCTGTGGTGTACACTAATTGATGTTTAATATTTAGGCTGGTCTGTCATTTGGGAGTCTCTGTCATTTGGCAGAGGAGTGTGAGGGGCATGAAGAAGTGCTGCCAGTTAGAAGTGAGAGGTCTGCACGGATTCTGAGACTCCCAAAAGCTGATCCATATGGGTCACAGACACGGTTTTCTCTAAGTACAGTACTGGTTCACTGTTCATTAAATGTGTGTGTTCCAATTAAATAACAGGGTAGGGGAGGAGAAAGAACCTCGAAGACATCACAGGCACTAATGTCTTCCATCTAGATCTCTTGTGAAGCTCTTCTTAGACACACTAGTAGCACACTTCCAAGGCTCACTGTTTCACGAAGCCAGCTGCTGCAAAAGCAGCTGCCTGAGGTGACCACATGTTTTGGAGTTGACAACATAATAATTATAAACTGTTTCTGGTATGTGTCAGACAACATGAACATGAAAAGTGGGGAAGGAACAGCAAAGATTATCTGAACCAATTACATAGGTGCTGACAAAGAGCTTTCTCCCTTTTCAGTCACTAGGAAGTAAATTTTATCAACATGAACTCTAGTACAACATCAACTCTAGTACAAATGAGGTGAATTTTTAAACAAATTATTATAGAGATAGTCCCTGTCTGCCCTTAAAAATAAACAATCTCAAACCTGGGTAAGTTAAAAATCTTTAGTAGAGCAGGCGCCATTAACTATTCTTCATAATGGGTGCTGGACAGCTAACCTTCAGAGTGGTATGTTTACTTTCAAAATTGTAATACAACATAGAAATCTGCTTGCAAACTAAATATTTGTTAGCATTTCTGAATAATATACTTAACATATTATCACATCTTCCCTCCTAATAGGTGAAACAGCTTTATGGAACAGCTGAGCGGAGAGCTATGTTAGAAACTCATTTGAACACTGTCTGGTCATTGTGCACAATGGGGTTAGTAGAGCAGATACAATACAATCTGACTACCTAAATATGTTCAGCAGATGTCTCAGGGTAGAGTATATCCAATTTCCCACTTTACTCATTCCCAGCCACTCAACTTTTAATTATTCATCACAGACAGCCCTGTTTACTCAGAAGGGAGATGCCAAACTTGTTTCGCTCAGGCCTGCCTAGCGAATGAGAACAACTTCAGAAATAAAAGTGCCTCTATGGGGGGAAATTTAAAAGTTTTCAGGCTCACAGAGTCAGCTGAGCTTGCAGCAACCTGAACAAACCTTCTCTTTAGAAAACAGTACACGAATTGCAAAACTACACTTTAACAAATGTTCTCTGTGCTCCTTCAGCAGAACAAAAGGGCAGAGTGAGTTGATGCTTGCCCTGGTCTTCTGCATCTCTGTTGTGCAGTTGACTTTTTATAAAGAACTAGAAGGTGAAGTTGATGAGTCTCATCATACAAAGACCTTAGCCAGCGCATCAGCTCCAGCACTGGCTATATAGCATTTGGAAGGGTGGAATGCTACATCATGGATCGATTCTTCAAATTTTTTCCGATGAGCTGTGAACTCTTGGATACATGTCTTACTTTCTAAATTCCATAAGCGTATTGAACAGTCATGACCTATTTCAAAAGAAAAAAGATTGAAAGAAACAATTTTATCAACATGAAGATGATAAGGACAATAAATAATCAATGCACAGCTAATGTACTTACTGCCAGACATCAAGTACAGGCCATTTGGATCAACTGCTAAACTTGTAACAGCTTCTAGGTGGGCTACCATCGAGTGGATCAGTTTGCCTTTGGAAAAAGACAGTGTTACTTTTTATTGATGGTTTTCTTCCGCCAACTCCCATGCTACCCTAGTTTCAACAGTTATCCCTGACTGTGTACTTCTTTATTAATCAACTTTTTCCATCAGTTCAAACAACCTATCTCCTACTCTTGCCTCTGGTCATGTTAATAAGAAAAAAATAAAGCTTAAATTTCAGATAAGTCTGTCTTTTAAGCCACAATAAATTCAGTGAGTTTTACATGTTCACTAATTACTAGTTAAGACATCACTAGTTCGACAAACTTCTTGTGTCCTTTAGTTACAGACAAACTCCATGGGCTCATGAGGACAGACAGTTCAAATTCAAAGAGACAGAGGAAAAGGAAAAAAACGATGGTCACAGTTTTGGTGGAAACAATACACAGAAAAGAATTTTAAAAATTAAACTGCTAGGGACTAAATACATTAGAAAGAAATATGGCTGCTCACACAAAGTTCTTCCCTGTACTTTAGCTCTTTGGGTACTTCCTTAGACTGGTGAAATCAGTCCACTGAAAGCTGGGAAAACCCCATGCCCCAATTCAGTCAGGACTCAAATTTTAGTAACAGAAAAGAATTAGCCTGTGGAAAACACACAAAACAAATGACCTGAGGGTTTTCATATGCAACACTGAGTCAAGCTATTTAAGATTGGACAACAGAATACAGCTATTCAGTAACTGAACAATTTAAAACAAAACATAATTATCAGCCTCTGCTTTCAACTTGTTTCTATTAATGCTCACTCCTTATGGATTGCAGCAGATCATTCTTATTGGTATTTAGGTTTGTGGCTTTAGACTATCTGCTTACTATTAAACAAACTAAAAAACCCCATCCTATATTATATAATATAGTCTTAGCAGATAGGAATGAAATGAGCAGAAATTGAGTGAAGAAAGTATTTCAGTGCCTATTCTGTGACTATAAAGCTCCAATTAGACACCACAATTAGCTTACTGAGGTGTTTACTGTTGTTTTATTTTCTTGTTGCCGTTGTTGGTTTTGCTTCAGAGACACAGTCCTTACCTGTATTGTTGTCATAGAATTTGATGTGCCTGTCTTCGTGAGCAGTGATGCTGATTGGAAGAGTGGGATGGCTGATGACTCTGTTTATTTGGCATGAAGAATTGGCTGCTAAAAAGAGAATATTAAAAATAATATAAATCCAAAGCCACAAAGAAACCCTGTCTCGAAAGAACATACAAACAAACAAAAAACAATGCAAAACAGTCAAAATAGTTTTTTTTTATATATATAAAGAAGATATAAATACTAAAACAGACAGGAAAAAAATAAACTATGCAACTTTAGTCTGGCTGTGGTTCAGTGTTCTCCAATTGTTTCTCCAGCTTCATTGCTGTAAAATAAGATCTGCCTAAGGTAAATCACACTGGCACATTTACAGGTAATGAAATGTCAGAGTTCCTTTTTCACTTCCCACTATGCATGGATACCATCTAAGACTTGGCCTAGAGACACGGATGACATCCAAGTCTACACATTTTGTGATGTTCGATACCATAATAGAATTCTATCTGCAGGGCGGTGGTGGCAAATGCCTTTAAATCATAGCACTTGGGAGGCAGAGGCAGACGGATGGATCTCTGTGAGTTCAAGAGCAGCCTGCCTCATCTCCAGAGTGCATTTCAGGCCAGCCAGAGATTCACAGTGAAATCCTGTCTCAAAACCAAACACCACCAAATAATCTTCAAAGTTAAACCTCAGTTCCTTGCAACATGGAGCTCTGTTCAGGTAGTTGTGATTTAGATACAAACATGAAAACGAGGGCTTTGCCTCCTTTCTTGTTCCTCTTTGCATCAGAACAGAAAAGGCGATTGCCTTGCAGTCACCAGACTTTGAGTTTCTAAGGAGCATATTAGTAATTGTTGTACACTACTTAAGAATTTTTGAAGAGATTAATTACTATATTCAGCTTGTTATTTCAATATACAACAGAAAATGCCAGGTGAAATTTTTCTGTTGTTTGTTTTAGACTGTGCTGAAGTTTAAAACAAAAGTTTTTTTTTTTTCTTTTCTTTCTTTCTTTCCTTTTTTTTTTTTTTTTTTTTTTTTTTTTTTTAAGTAAATGTGTCTTCAGGTTTGGGCAATAGAACAAGTTATGATTCAATCATTCTTCATAGAAACTTGGGCAGTTACACTTTTGATTAAGTTTAAAAACACAGAGACTTTTAAAGATTGGTATACATACTCGAGTCTAGCTTGGATTCTAAAGTGAGGATTCGCTGCTGTGTCTCCATGTTAAAGATGCTTGTATACCCTTTGCTGAATGATGCTACCATATGGCTCGGGTCACTGCTCACAAGATCCACAGAAGCGGGGATTCCCAGTTCTAAGTGTCAAAAATATTCAGAGAGTATGACAGTTAAAAGGTCTACTTGAGAAAGTAATCAAAATGCAGAAAAACAAAAAGTATGATTTAATTTAATAAATCAGGCTTAACATCAGGATAAGTTATTTTAGAACCATTCAGAGAAGAGTGTTTCTTTTCTAACTTTTAGCTTCAGTCTATTTTATTATCCCTACCTGTTAAATGTTTTCTACCCATTATTCTGCTAATCCACTCAGAGAATGCAAACTTACTTAGGAAGAAAATGAAAGCATATGGACCATAAGTTTTATAGCTTCCACTCCCATTTCAGGCAGAAAATAACACAGTGGGAACTCAGTATTTTAAAAATCCATCTTGAAGAAAAAATAAATAAATAAATAACAAATCCAAACTTAGGCTGTAGTGCAGCTCAGTGGTACCATGCTTGCTGGCACAGAGTTAATTAAGTCTTGAAAGTCTAAGTGCACATTATGACTTTGCTGAAGAATAAAGGTGTTCTATGGCCTGGAGTGTAACTCAACTGTAGAATATTTGTCTAACATGCAAATCACCACACAAATACACAAAGGTATCATCAGGGGACTAAACTTGGAACTCATCTGTACCAAAAACATAATGATAAAGCTAGTGTAGTAGCATACTCCTTAAATCCAAGCACTTGGAAATAGAGGCCAAAGGATTGTGAATTTGAAGTCAGCCTGGGCAATGAATTTAAGGTGAGCCTGAGCTACATAGTAAGGCATTGCCACAAGAAAACAAACAAACAGAATGATAAATATAAAAATAAAATAATGCTTCATTTGGTTCAACACCTAACTAAAGCAAGGTAATAATTCAAAGCTGTATAGCAGAAGTTCTAGGAATAGCCAGTGAAAAGCAAGAAATAGTACTCAACCAAATAAGCTATCGAAGAATTCAACACTGAAACAGAAGGGAACCTGTACCACACAACCACAGGAAGACTAAAGTGAGGCAGAATGACAGCATCAAGACTGAGTGAAAATGCTTGAGCAAACGGACCTCGCACAGGCTACAGTCCAGGTTATAAAGTGCCATGAGCACTCTAGCAACGTTGGTCATTTCACATAAGTTAAAAACAAAACACCCACCCTAAAACCCAGCAAGTCTACTAAAAGGTCTCTACTACACATGATGAAAACGTATGAATGTTCATAATAAATTATTCCTAATAGCGCCACACTGGAACAACCTAAGTAAATACCAAGAGGTAAATGAATAGGTTATGGAAATTATGACTTTTATAGAAATTTGGTTCATAACAGCCTTGGTGTCTATCAGGACATATATAGAATATATAGAATAGATATATAAATAAAGAGGAAATAAACTGACACTGAACTGCATAAATGTTACAGGAGATAAAAAGCCAGGCACAAAGATTACATCCTAAACTGCTATTTTATTATAGTTCAGAATAGACAAAACTAATCTATAATGAAAGTAATCTTGACAACAGATGCTGCTGGCTGGGATATGCAGCAGGGAATGGCTAAGGACACAAGGCAGCTGAGGGAAGGGAAGAAATGGTCCCGCTCCAGACCTATACTAGCTCCAGGACTCCACCTGTTCATGCATCAGAAAACACCCTTAACACCTTTTGTCTTCAACGAAAATAAATTATGTCTTAATTTTTAAAATGTAAATTCCATTTTCTCATCAAATGCTGTGGTTTTTTTTTCTTTTATTCAATTGTGTGTATATGTGGGTGTGTGTGTGAGGGTGGGTGTGGGGGGTGTGTCATGTGCACATGAATGCAAGTGCCTGCTGAGGTCAGAGGTGTGAGACACCCCTGGAGTTGGGGTTATAGGCAGTTGGAAAATAACTGATGTGGGTGTTGGGAATTGAACTCAGGTCCTCTGGAAGACCAGTATGTTCTCCTAACCATTGAGCCATCTCTCCAGCCCATCAAATGCCATTTTTTTAAGACTTATACATACACTGAAATGTCAAACAACAATATTGGTATTTTTTTTTTTAAAAAAAAAAGCCTTAAAATGTATACAGTCAAGAGTTTACAGAATTTTTTTGCTTGCATTTTTCAGAAAATGTTTAACTTTAAGGACTGTACCTTGGTTGTCATTAAACACACTCAGTGCTGGAGCAACCTCAGCTGTATTCCATAAACGAAGAGTACCATCTGCTGAGCAGGACAACAAGCGGTGGTGTGCAGCACTGTAGGCTAGCCCCCACACTGCATCTGTGTGGCCCAAAAGAGGGCCTCTCAGAACACAAGGATCTGTGGAGAACAAGCACATGCAAAACCAGGAAGAAAAAGTGTCATAAGACAGAGTACCCAAAAACAGTGTAACGCAGTCTTCTAGTTTTAGTATCTTCTGAAATGTTGCTATAATTACACGTAGTTTTGGAAATATACAAATAGAGTCTGAACATTCTAAATTAGAATTAAGAAGTACAAGTCTGCTTTCTTAAGAAAGCTCTATTTTAATGTTTATTAAATAAACATAAGTAGAGATTTTGTTTGTTGACTCTGTGTTAAATGCTTTTAATGGCAAACATGTCATGTTAGACCATTCTGTATTAACACCAAAATTAAAGCAACCCATTTCTACAGAGTTTTACAAGAGAATTTATGGCAACACAGTTAATATGAATTCATCCCATAACACTGCTCTTAAAACCAAAGCATCTGTGTGCATAAATGCATGTCTGTGTGTGTGTGTGTGTGTGTGTGTGTGTGTGTGTGTGTGTGTGTGTGTTGAGGGTGGAGGGAAGACAGACAGTTATTCTGAAACTTAGAGTGGCCTGGTACTCATTAACTAGACCAAATTCACAGCAATTCTCCTGCTTCTTTCTCCCTGGCAAGTTAAGAGATCACAGGTCTGCACCACTAAAGCTAGCCACAAGGCCACTCCTTAACCTCTGAGGCCCTTTACAATAAATATTTTGGAGGCATGGACTTTAAAACTAATTAACTTCTTCTATTTCCCTCCAATAACCAGCATTCATTTACCTTCAAACTTGTTTGTCAAAAACAATAATAAAATATGACTACAAATGAATGGCAAAGTACAAGACAGATGTCTAACATCAAGAAAGCATCAACCAAAGAGTATTTCTGTCTAATAAGACTGAAGAGATGAACTCTTTTCTCAAGAACAGTGTGTTTTTACCTTCAGTATTAGGTATCCTGTATTTGCAGGAATCCTTCTGAATGACATAAAGACATGCTTCTCTTTACTGGTCTCTTAAATATTAATTTTACCCTTAATATGATGGGAGATGTCATTCTGTAAATATGTCTATCTTATTGGTTGATGAATAAAACACTGATTAACCAGGCAGAATGACAGGTGGGAAAAGGAGACAAGGAGGATTCTGGGAAGTGTAGGCAGAGAAAAGTCATCATGTGAGCCCAGGGAAAAGAGGATTCGAGTGAGGTGTCTCCAGTAAGATAAGACTACATGGAGCTACATAGATTAGTAGTTATGGGTTAATAATTAAGACAGAGTTAGCCTATAAGAAGCCCAAACCAACAGACAACCATAATATAACTAATATAAGTCTCTGAGTATTCATTTGGGGTTGACAATGCTGTGGGACCACGCTGGAGGAAAAGAGTTATTGTAATGCTTAATATATACTATGAAAAAAATGTAAAAAGACAACATGGTTTCAGAACTTTGGTGACACACATACCATAAGAATCATAGGGATCGATGTTGGGATTGGTGGTGTTCCATCCCTGAATCAGTCCATCTGTACCACCACTGTAACACTGCTCACCATTGCTGCTCATCACTACACACAGCACTGGACCTCTGGGACATCAAACAGATCAACAGGTATCAAGTAAACTGTTATTCTCAAATGTCAGTTCTACAATGTAACTTGTCAAAACTCAGAATGTCTGATTACCTAAATGCTTTTCTACTTTCCAGCTTTTAATGATGATTACAAACATTACTGAAGTACTACTTACTATTCACTTTCTTTCTATGCCAAACCAAAGGCTGGTAAATTATGGTAGTAGTCTTAGTATAGTCCTCAGGCTATAAACAATTTTTATATTTTTAAAAGTTAAAATAGCAGCACACACAGTAACAACAAAAACCAAGAATATGTTAAATGAATTAAGACCCTTAGTTTAATTAGCAAAAAAAAAAAAAAAAGAAAAAAGAAAAAAAAAAGCCAAAAGAGGACAAAAAAAGTTCAACAAGAGTATATGGATTGCTAAACCTGAAAAATATTTACTTTCTTACCCTTTACATAAAAAGCATTTCAATGTCTGTGAAAAGTGGAGTGAAGATATGCCTCTTATATATAAGTGGAAATAAGAAAATATGTAATTACTATAAAAAAAGTATTGGATAAAAATACAAATGGCAAATGTGTGAGCATACATTACTCAGGAGGAAATCCAGGGCCTCCTTCTACTTTTAAGCTACATCCCCACACTTTGAACAGTTTTTATATGTAGGTTATGTTTAAGGAAGACCCAATAAACTCTACCAGGGAACTCCTACAGCTGATAAACACCTTCAGCAAACTAGCAGGATACAAGATAAACTCAAAAAAGTCAGTAGCCCTACTTTTTTCAGACGACAAAGAGACAAAGAAATCAGAGAAACAAACATCACCCTTTACAATAGCCACAAGCAACATAAAGTATCTTGGTGTAATGCTTACCAAACAAATAAAAGACCTATATAATAAGAACTTTGTGGCTCTAAAGAAAGAAATTAAAGAAGATACCAGAAAATGGAAAGATCTCCCATGCTCTTGGATAGGTAGGATAAACATAGTAAAAATGGCAATCTTGCCAAAAGCAATCTACAGATTCAATGCAATCCCCATTAAAATCCCACCACAATTCTTCACCGACCTTGAAAGGATAATAATCAACTTTATATGGAAAAACAAAAGACCCAGGATAGCCAAAACAACTCTATACAATAAAAGAACGTCAGGAGGCATCACCATTCCTGACTTCAAGCTCTACTACAGAGCTATAGTTCTGAAAACAGCATGGTATTGGCACAAAAGTAGACAGATAGACTAATGGAATCGAATTGAAAATCCTGATATTAACCCACGCACCTATGAACACCTGATTTTCGACAAAACAGCTAAAATTATACAATGCGGCGAGGACAGCATCTTCAACAAATGGTGCTGGCACTATTGGATGAGGGTGTGTAGAAGACTGCAGATAGACCCATGTCTGTCGCCATGCACAAAACTCAAGTCCAAATGGATCAAAGACCTCAACATCTATCCAGCCATATTGAACCTCTTAGAAGAGAAAGTAGGACGTACCCTTGAACAAATTGGTATAGGAGACTGCTTCCTGAACATAACATCAGGGGCACAGACTCTGAGAGCAACAATTAATAAATGGGACCTCTTCACACATAGAAGCTTCTGTAAGGCAAAGGACACAGTGGACAAGACCAAACGGCAGCCCACTAACTGGGAAAAGATTTTCACCAATCCTATATCCGACAAAGGGCTGATCTCCAAAATATACAAAGAACTCAAGAAACTAGTCAACAAAACACCAAATAACCCTATTAAAAAATGGGGTACAGAACTGAAGAAAGAATTCTCAATAGAGGAAATCAAAAAGGCTGAAAGATACTTAAAGTACTGCACATCCTTAGCTATCAGGGAAATGCAAATCAAAACAACTTTGAGATACCATCTTACTCCTGTCAGAATGGCTAAAATTAGAAACACCAATGATGACTCATGTTGGAGAGGATGTGGAGAAATAGGAACACTCCTCCACTGCTGGTGGGAGTGCAAACTCATACAGCCATTTTGGAGATCAGTATGGCGGTTCCTCAGGAAAATGGGAATTAGTTTATCACAGGACCCGGCAATCCCCTTCTTAGGCATATACCCAAATGATCCACATCCATGCAACAAAGACATCTGTTCAACTATGTTCATAGCAGCACTATTTGTAATAGCAAGAACCTGGAAGCAACCTAGATGCCCCTCAATTGAAGAATGGTTAATGAAGATGTGGCACATCTACACAATGGAATACTACTCTGCAGAAAAAATAATGGTATCTTGAAATTCGCAGGCAAGTGGATGGCACTTGAAGAAACCATCCTGAATGAGGTAACCCAGTCACAAAAAGAGGAACACATTATGTACTCACTCATATATGGATTTTAGACCTAGATCAAATGATCACCAGCCTATAATTCACATCACCAGACGAACTAGGATACAAGATGTATTCTAAGAGATTCATATAAAGTGCCTCACAGAACTGGTAATGGACAAGTCCCCCCAGAGCTCAGGTGAAGTGGGGGAGGACAGCGAATGGAGAGAGAAGTAGGAGAAAACAAGGGGGAGGAAAGAAAGATTTAGCCTGGTTAGGAACAGAAGACAGGAAAGAGAGAGGGGGAGAGACAGAGAGAGAGAGAACATAAAATAGGGAGCCAATATTGGTTTGAAGATAAAATTGAACACAAAGAAAGGTCTAGAGAACTACAACACTGCTGCCAACTAACAATTTGAGCTTCCATGGAAAGGCTATCATAAATGCCCTTCCCGGAGGGAGAGATCAACAACTAACTTATCCATGGAGCCCTCAACTAATGCCTGTTGGAAACAGGAGCAAACATCCATACATAAACACTGAGTCAAAGTAGAACTCAGATGCAGAGGGAGAGGACAAGACTAGGCGGCAGAAACACATAGAGACAGCTTCCCTGAACAAGGAGGAGCTAACAGGCCACCAGACTGATAGCTGGGAAGCCAGCATGGGACTGACTCAGGCCCCCCTGAATATGGATCTCAGCCAGAAGGACTGAGCAATCTAAGGGACCTCAGACAATGGAGCCAGGATGTATCCCTGGAGCACAAAAGGACTTGCGAACACATCCCCCATGGAGGAATAAGTGCCTTAATCTAGAGACAGGAGAGGGCTTAGTCCCTACTTCACATGACCTGTCAGACCTACATGACCCCTACTGGATGACATTCCTCTACATTTGGAATTGGGGTGGGGGGATGGGAGGGTGGTTAGAGTACATGTGAGAGAACAGAGAGGGTAAAAGGGAGGGAAGGGAGGGAGAAGGCAGGGAGTGAGGGAGGTTGGGAGGGAGGGAGAGGGAACTGGGATCAACATGTAAAATAATAAATTAAATTTTAAAAAATGCTTTGACTCCAAAATTTAAGTTCAAGGACAAGTTACTGGGGAAAAGAATTTCTATTTTTGTTTCCACAGAAAATGAAAAGTTGTGGATTCCTTCCAGACTAATGTGGTTTGATCAAGCCAGACCACCTGAAACAGAGTACCAGGTGATCCTACATTCAAAACAGCTGGACAAAGCAGCCTGACAGACTACAGTCAGGATTTCTGAATCTTCTTCGAATCCCCCATGACAGCGCCCCTTACCAGCAGGAAGTAGTTTGGAAAGAACAACACCCAAATTCCCAAATATTGTCTATAAATGTTTGTTTTCATTTAAATGGACTTGGTTATATAAAATAAAATTTAAAAAAATGAAAAAAAAGAAGGAAATCATGAAATGTGCAACAGAAAAAAAAAAAGGAAGAAACTATGTGAGAATCGTATTAAAAATTATTTTAAGTTTTTATTTGTACATGTGGTTGTATGTCACCTCTGCACAGGTGCTCACAGAAGCCAGAAGAGTGGTGTCAGATCACAGGAGTTGGAGTTACAAGCTGTTGGGAACCACCCCACATGGCTGCTAGGAACTGAACTCCAGTTTTCTGGAGGAGTAGCAAGCACCCAGTGCTAGCTAGCATTTCTAGTACTTAAACCTAAATACTTCAGTTTATAATACACATGCATACCAGGATCTCTACCAGGTATTTATATTATCTGCCAGGTTCTTTTACGTTTACCGAAAGCCCCACCACTACTAAATAGAAAAATTATATTAAAATATGTAAGTGAAAGAATGTACGATATTCCAATCAAACTGTGTTAAAATGATGTTGGCTTAATAAAAGAAAAACCACATACTTACTTATGAGCCCTGAATGTATAGATAGGCTCCACATCAAGAGAAGTACTCCTAAACCAGAAGAAAAAAGGAAAAAAAAAAAAAAAAGATAACTTTAAGCATCCCACATTTCAGTAGTGAACAGCATAACTAAGTGGTAGTACTGTGGTCTCCATAGTAATACTATACTCAGCCTTAAGATACAGAGGTTCACCTAATCCCAGTTATACCTTCACAGGATGGACAAACACCCACCTTATAGTGGTACATTCTTACACCGATTCCTCACACTGTTACAATCAGTCCACTAATGTTACACAGTCTCTCCATACTGTTTACAATTTGTTCACTAATGTTACACAGCCTCCTCACACTGTTACAATTCATCCACTAATGTTACACAGCCTCTCCACACTGTTACAATTTATCCACTAATGTTACATAGCCTCTCCACACTGTCCACTAATGGGAGAGATCATTCATAAGAGAACACAAGGACTGTGAAGGATAATTTTCAGAACGTCATTTCCAGTTATATCACTAATTGACTAATGCAGGGAAGTTTTTATTATTTCAGAACTTCAAGTTATCCTATATTTAAAATAAAACAAAATCTAGATAGTATCAAATATTCAACATGAATGAGAATCTAAATACGCCAGAACTATACAGCAGGATTTCAGCAAGGGGTCTTTTAGTTCCCCATGTTTTCATGAAGGTTAATATGTCTATCCTTGATTTTGTGGAAACTGCCTAAGTCATCAGCTCATTACTAAGAACAGGACTCTGAATGTCTGCATTATCTAACAGACAAATATTCATCATAGACAATGGTAAGAATCATGTTGCAGGAATTTGCTGTTATATATTATCTTGTCTCAAGTCAGCTCCAAGGTAACTAAGATACTATTATTTGCATGTGTAGATTTTACTGATTTGTTTCCACTATTTCCCTCAATCAGACATTTACATTTAGCTCCATATGACTGAGCTGGAACCAGAACTAGCATACTGTGACCTGAAAACTGGAAAGGCAAAAGCACAGCACATCAAAGGGAATACCATTCTGCTCAGACTGCTCCAGCAATTTGCCTGTCCTGTGTGACTCACGGCACTAACGCTACTGGTGCCTTTTAAACTGGGTAGCAGCAATTTCTCCTACAGGCAGGACAACATCTGTGGTGCCCTGTATTACAGTCTATTGTACTCTTCTTAGTTGTACTCTTCTGCCTCACACAGTGAAAGGATCCTGGTTGGCAGAGGCTGGTGTGGATGAAGGTAATGGACTCATAGAAGGTGAGCTCTAGGAGGGCCTCATCAAGTAGAGCTGAGTCTAGCTTGGGGGCTAAGGAAAAAGTTTATAGGACAGTATGTCTGCTGGCATTCATACACCAAACCAAGAACGAACAACTAAGCAAAGACAACAAACAGTATCTCTCAGTTCAGACAGACTACTTAGTATGAAAACTTGTCAGAGAAAAAGCTAATGGCATAGAGAAGTTCCTAACCACTTCTTTCACTTTGTAAATTCAAACTTTGTAAATAATGGAGTGAGGGCAAAGGTTTCATAATTCTATGTGTTCCTACTTATATCTCTTTATATTAATAGGGATCTTCATTACAGGCCAGAGGCCCCACTTATAAATGAAAACAGGGACTTAAAACACTTATGCATAAGAACTGTAATCAGCAGTCACAAACCCCTGGGACCCATTAGACAAAAACCCTTAGATTGTCTGGAGGATTCACCAATGACATGGTAAAGAACAAAGAACCAGAAGAGACACTTGGGAACTATAACAGAAAATTATTTTAAAATATGTATTTTCCTGTTGATAAATAATTTAACTAAACCTTAAAAGAAACCGTAAAAGTAGAATATTCTCACTTTTTGGCTGGGGCTGTTTTTTGCAAATTCCACATTTTCAGTGTATGGTCCTCTGACGCTGTTATTAAAACGGGCTCAATGGGGTGGAAAGCAAGGGCTCGAATGCCATCAAAGTGACTTCTTAAGGTAAACTTAGGGTTCCACGTCTTCCTCAAGGCATCTTTATTATTTGCTATCTATTGAAGAAACAAAACATCAGGTTGGGATAGCTGATTTACTACTATTACACCATACAAATCTCAAAACAATATTTTAAAAAAAATTTTTTTTTTTTTTTTTACATTTCAATCCCAGTTCCCCTTCCTTCCTCTCCTCCTATTCCCCTCACTACCACCAACCTGATCCACCCCACCCCAGCCACTTCCCATCTGCTCTACGGAGAGGGTAAAGTCTCCCCTAGGAAGTCTACTAAGTCTGTCCCATCACCTAATTGAGGCAGGACCAAGGCACCTCTCCACTTCCCACACCCCTGTGTCTAGGCTGAACAAGGTATCTCTCCATAGAATCGGCTCCCCTAAGTCAGCTTGTGCATTAGTGTTAGATCTTGGACCTACTGCCAGTGGCCTCAATATTGTCCCAGTGACACCATTGTCACCTACATTAAGGAAATGTAGTTCAGTCTTACATAGATTCCCCATTTGTCAGATCTGAGTCAGTGATCTCTCACTAGCTTGGGTCAGCTGATTCTGTGGGTTTCCCCATCATGGTCTTGACTCTTTTGTTTGTATTACTGCTCCTCCCTCACTTCGATTAAAACAATGTATTTTTAAAGCAAACTAATTAGCAAAATTAGTAACATGTGGCAATTTTCATTGAAGAAATAAAAAATGTAGAATAAGAGAACATAACTCAATCTAAACTGTAGATAAGTGATGATCCCAAATGGATCTCTACTATGCTAGTTTCGACCCTGAATGTGCTTGAAGGCTTGATCAACTAGCCTCTGGCACTCCCAGGAGGTGGAGTGTTTAGCAGATGAAGCCTAGACAAGAAAGTGACATCACTGAAAGATCTCCTTTAGGAGAAGCAGCAGCCCAGGCCTCTCCTCTCTCTGATCCCTTAACACCATGAAGCAAGTGGCTTCTTCTGATGCTTGCATCTCACCATGACTTGACCCCACCAACATGGACTGGAAGACAAGCACGTTGTATCCATCCATCCTTCCTCCCTTCCTCCCTCCCTCCCTTCCTTCCTTCCTTCCTAAGGGGTTAATTATTTCACATTATTATGTCACATCAACAGAAAACAAATAATTACTGGAGTGTTTTCAAAATCAAGCAACTCAAACTGTAGACACATATTGTAATTTGGGTCAAAGAACTAGGTTTGTTAGCTTTTTCTTTAAGCCTGTGTCCTGGCTAGTCTATGTCAATTGTGTCAATGAGCTAGACTCATTTGGGAAGAGTGAACCTCAACAGGGGAAAAAAAAAAAATGCTCCCACCAGACTGACCTATGGGCAAGCAAGGCTGTGGTGCATTTTCTTGATGGGAAATTGATATGGGAGGGCCTGGCTCACTGCAATGTCACCTCTAGGCAGGTGGTCCTGGGCTTTAAGAAAGCAGGCTGATGAAGCCACTAGCAGCATTCCTCCATAGCCTCTGCTTTGGCCAGTTTTCAGGTTCTTGCCCTGACTTCCTTCAATGATTGACTGTGATGGTAAGCAGACATAAAACCTGTTCTACCCAAGTTGCTTTTGATCATGGTGCTTCATCTCAGTAATAGAAACCTTAAGACAGTTTGCCAATTTAAAATACAACCACTTTTTTTTCACATTTTGAGACTTTTAATTCTTTCTTCACTGAGATGGAAACAAGATTTATAAACCTGAAATAGAAAATGTTAAAATGGCCATGACACACCTGCAATCCCAGAGCTTGGGAGGCTAAGGAAAAGATTTAGAATCCAGAGTAAGCCAACACAACCCCCCAACCCCTGCCTGCATTTCTCTTTACATGTGCACTCAGACTGTGAACACTAGATGCCATGAAGATATCATGCAGAGGACCATAAATGAACCACAACCTGCCAACAACTTTGACAGAGCTTGGTCTTCTCCAAGTCAAGTCCTCAAGTGAGAACAGAGCCAGTGCCAGTACAAAACAGCCAAAGACAGTCTGTACAGTGCAGATTCTGGATGTAGAGAGATTAAAAGATAAGTTTTCTTTTCTATTTCTCTTTTATTAAAAATAGTTTTTTTTCCAGATGGGAGCAGATGAGATTTATAACTAACCATTGGGCCAACCTCCAAGAGTTTAATTAAAAGTGAAAGAAGAGTGATAATATGAATAAGGAGTCAAGATCATGATGGGGAAACCCACAGAATCAGCTGACCAGAGCTAGTAAAAGATCACTGACTCTGCACCATGAACTAGGGAACCAGCATAGGACTGAACTAGGACCCTTGAATGGGGGTGACAATGGTGTGGCTTTGGCAGTATATGATCCCACTGGCACTGGGATCAAGATCTAACTCTAATGCATAAACTGACTTTGTGGAGCCCACTCTCTAGGGAGAGATACCTTGTTCAGCCTAGACATTGGGGGAAGGGGGTACCTTGGTTCTGCCTTGACAAGGTGATAGGAAAGACTTAATTGACATCCTAAGGGAAACCTTACCCTCTCTGAGGAGAGGATGGAAGGTGAGATGGGGGAAGAAGGGGAAAGTGGGAGGAGAGGAGAGAGGGGGAACTGGAATTGGAATATAAAAAATAGATTTTCTTAAATGCAATATATTCTGATTACAGTTTCTCTCCCCCACCCTGTTCCCCCCAGAACCTCCATACCTCCCTCCCCATCTGAAATCTCTACCCTATCTCTCTCATTAGAAAACAAAAATTTAAATAACAATAATAATAAGAAGATAAGGTAAAATGAGTGGGGTAGGACAAAACAGTAAAAAGAACCAAAAGAAAGCATAATAAACATATACAGAGAGACACACATTTGCTCGCACAGAAATACCACAAAACTGGAAATCATAATACATATTCACAAAGAACCTGCAAGATTTAAAAATCTCTGACTAAGGACTAATTATGAGATAACGAACCTCCCAAAATGTATACTTTTTAACAATATACCAGTAGATTACTGTACAGTTAGTAAAACATACAAGTACCTTTGGAAATTAGGTGAACATATAACATTGATTTTTCTTGGGGGGTGGGGGGTGATATGCATCAGCTACTGAATAAAGTCTTCATGGTTTAGGCAGAGAGGACAAAAGTATGTGATGGGAAATGTGCTTCTAGTCACTACAGCCTAGGTAATTTGGACATCCTGTATTGTAGGGGTAAGCAGTACAGACGTAAAGATATAGCTGTGAAGAAAAGCCAGCTGCCCAGGGGAGCCCACATTGGGAAATGAACTACTAAAGAGGCAGGACAAATGCTACTGTAAGAAAGACAGCAATTTACTGAAGGCGCCTAAACAAAAACACAGCTCACACTTTGCAATGGGAAAAAAAAAATCTCTAACTTTAATTTTTATGTCTAACTTTGTAAAGTTTGAAATTAAAACTAAACCAAGATCCATACCCATGAAAAGTTTTTACCTCTGCCACCCTTTTCTAAACCTTAACTGCTACTTTTCAGACACAGTAATGGCACAGAAAAGAAAACTGCTACTTACATCATATGCCAGCGAGTCTGCTTCATTGGCCACTGTAAGGCCTGCTAACTCTCCAAGCCCCAGTTCGCTCTCAAGGGCTTCATCTGCAGCCATGATAAATGACTTCCCAGAGGAAGGAGGAAATGTCAGGGCTTCCACTGGGGGAGAGAAAGCCCATGTTACACACCTCAACACTTCACAACCAGTCCCACTTCTTTCATTAGGAACATGTACACTTCTGTTGCTCTGTTTTTGTTTTTGGAACCTAGGCTAGCCCAGCATGAAGGCACTTTTCTAAGTGCTGGGATTATAAGCCCCAGGGGCTATATGCCTACCTTACATTAGTGTTAGGCAATTTTGTACACAGTGGAATTCCAAGAGCAGAAAAATCTTAATGACAGCTTTTCACGTATTATCCTGCTAATAGCATCATCTAATTAGAAAACTAAAGCAGAAACAAATCTAATAACTTACCATTACAGAGAAAACAGTATGACTAAAAGTAAATTTCCCCTCTATTTGATATTTCATTCTAATTACTCCAATAACATTTATCAATTATGAAGTATATTAACAAGTGGTTCTTGCTATATGTTGAACACTATTGCTCCCACTGAAAATAAAACTGAGACGGGTGGTGGTGATAGACAGCACACACCTTTAATCCCGGCACTCAGGAGGCAGAGGCAGGAGGATCTCTGGGAGTTCCAGGACAGCCTCCAAAGCTACAGAGAAACCCTGTCTCAAAACACAAACAAACAAGAAAGATAAAACTGATCAATTCTATAACATTTCAGAATGCAAACTGTACAATGTGCCTATTTGAGAAAACTAATGTACACTGTTAGAAATCAGAATTACCTCTGAGAGTGAGACAAGTGGCCAGTGGTTAAAGAGGCCATACAGGCTGCTACCTACACCTTGGTAATGCTCTGCCTCTTGATCTGGGGGTGATAGCATAAATAGTCAGTGGCTAATTCTGATGTGTGATGATTTCATGAGCTGTACCCACTTGTGCACGTTTTATTTCCTTTAAAGATGTTTCAGAACTTTAATAGCTGCCGACTGTGCTCTGAGATGGCGCTTCCCTGTGGAATCAACTTGAACATTCCTACTTTATAACTTGAACACAGCACTTCAATCCTTTCAACAAGTATCACTGAAGAGCCAGGAAAGCAAAACGCTAATTAGGATTTCATGAAAGACACTATACCAAAAAGACACCAGGGGTTGCTTCATTGATTAGAAATATTTAAGTTGAATTTAACAATTAAACAAAGAAGTGAGTTAATTATATCCAGTACATAGCAGACTACAGTTAGTCATGATTAAAAACAGGTACTTGCTGAACTGAACACATTAAATAATAGTTGTTTGCTTTTAAAAACAGTATTTTTATTTTAAATATAAACTAAAATATATAGCATTAAAGCTGAGCTTGAAAATTATCAATATATGACTTTATGTTACACATAAAACGAAATAGAATTATTCTACATGATGGCTGTAACTATGTTAAAAAAATATATGCAATGGATAAAGACTTTTGACAGGCAACAAGGAAACATGAGAACAGGTAGCTTTCCCTCCATTTTGCTGTTGCTTTGAGATAGGGTCTCACTATGCCACCCTTGGCTGGTCTGGAACTTGCTCTGTAGACAGGCTGGCCTCTACCTCTGAGTGCTAGGACTTTTTTTTTTGTTGTTGTTGTTTGTTTGTCTCTCCCCCCCCCCCCGAGACAGGGTTTCTCTGGATTGCTTTGGAGCCTGTCCTGGAACTAGCTCTTGTAAACCAGGCTGGACTAGAACTCAAAGAAACCCACTTGCCTCTGCCTCCTGAGTATTGGGATTAAAGGCATGCACCACCAACACTAAGATTAAAGCATGTATCACCATGTCTGGTGCCCTGTCATTTTTAAAATCAATGATAAATTAAGTATGCTAACTTTCACAGTGAACATTTAGTACCAATTTTTTTAGACTCAATTTTCTCAATATTGGAACTGAGTAAGCTTGTTACCACTCTTATCAATGGAGCTATGGTATATTATAAATCAGAAACTCAGAGTGATTCTTAAATTTATGCCCCTTCCCCAAATCACAGATGAAGCTGGAGTCGACTCCACTGACTGAAGAAAGCTGTGTGTTCGAGCTGGGTGCTCTCTAAGGCGCCTATGGCAGCCACAGGTCTAGGTGCTCACCTTCATCTGCTCTCCTGATCTCCTGTTCAGGGAGCCTGGAGCTGCTGGGTCTGGAAGGAGAGCCAACAGATGGCTGTAATGAGGGAAGTTCATCAACATCTCTCAAATTAGCAAGCATGTCTTGTAGTTTTGACCTATTGGGCCCTAGTCAAAAAGGGGAAGGGCAGAGGAGAAAAAAACAAAAGAGAAAACAGAATGACTTATTTCATAAAAATTGTACAATAAACTTTTTCACATCTGCCAACATTCACCTTTAAAATATCCTACTAGATTGATCAATAAGGAGTAGTTATTTTTGAAGTTTTCAAATTTTAAGTTTATTATTTCTGGAAAAGAATGATATTTAAATATATATTTTGTAAATTAAGTTAATGGAATCACTACATGAAAAATAATGCCATGTCCAATATGTATCATTAAAAATCATATTCATCTAAATGAAACCAATGACTATTGGTCTAAATGAAGACAATCACAGATCATAACCAAATGAAAACTCAACTGAACAGTAACATCCCTGCTTGCTTAAACTAAGTTACAGGCACTGCCTTACATCCTGCAGCTATGGAACCCAAAGTGAAGTCTCGTGCCCTGTTGGCCACTTACCTGGGCTTTGACTCTTCATTCTCCCACATCCCTGTTTTGACTGTTTTATATAGGATAGAGGCTGAAACAGATCTTCGGTAGTTTTTCCTGTTACAAGTTTAATTAAGAATGGGAAAATCTTACCCATAGTCCGTTATGGTATTTCCTATACCAGCAAAGAATACAACTATTTCTAAGCAATTTTAACTACTACCTAGAAAATTTAAGATGTGACTGGACTACACAATCTGACTGGATATACTTACAGTAGACCAATTAAAAACAATTGTAGGTAACAGCTCAATTAAAAAGTATATTTTGGTAGCTTATAAATTAATGTTTCTTATACTAATTCAAAGTTTTACTTAATTTTCCTCTTTATCATAGGTCTTCACTTGTCCTCACATTACTGTTTTAACAAAATAACAAGTGAAAATAATAAATAAAATGTGCTAACCTTAGTCTACACCCCTTATCTTCAGTGCAAGCCACAGAGTTAACACTTCTTCACTTAAAAAGCCCATGCGCTATATATTTAAATATAATATCAACCCCCAGGTGCAGGGAACCCAATTTTTCTGTTAGTAGGAATAATATTCCAGTCAAATGGTGCAGGTTTAGATCTGAAAGGCTAAATTCTAACCACAATGTAAGAGTAGATGAGTTCCACAGAAGTCTTGGCTACCTTTCTAATGAAAAGATCTTTACATTCCAAAATACTCATTTTAATATCATAATGTCCCAAAGAAATATATTGACACTAATTTAATCTGGAAATAATTCTAATGTATGATATACAAATTTTTCTCAACATCTTAGTTTAACTGGCTTAGACATGGTCCTAAAAGCCATAGCAATTCATATGTCAATATATATTTTAAGTTTAAAGTTTTTAGCATATTTGAATAAAGAGATTAAACAGTTTTATTTTAAAGTTAATCTTTCTTGTTCTGATTTTACCTATTTTGAGATAACAATAAATGATCTCATCTCTCAGTAACTGTTAAAACTGTGCTAACATCTATAATGAATATAGACTTTTCATTTAATTAAGAATTTAAAAATTCTAAAATTTTAAATACGTATTTAACTATTTTAACAATAACTACCAGATTATAAAACAATGTCTGCCAGAAATGAATGGTCTTGATATATTTTACCATAATTAAAAAGCAACAAGGGAATACTTTCAGTCTTTTGTAATTTATAACCCACTTCTCACTAAATTTAGCTTTTAATCTTATTTTGTACTATTTTCACTCAAAGGATAAAATTCCTGTTGCCATGGAAGGGAAAAGCCATGTTTAGCATGTCAATGAGTAGAAGCACAAGATGCTTTGTTTTGTCGTTTGAGATGTCTCTTGTAGCCTAGGACTGATGGTCTCTAGTTCCTTAAATAGCTGTCTCTAGTTCCTTAAATAGCTAAATAAGACCTTGAAACTCCTGGTCCTCCTGTCTCTACCTGCAGAGTGCTGGGATTACAGATATGTGTCACCATGCCCAGTTTACCACATTCCAGTGATGAGGCCAAGGCTTTGTTCATGCATTCCACCAACTGAGCTTCATACCCAGTCCCTAAAAAGCTATTGAATATTGTTTTTATCAAGGTTTTGACAGGATTTATTTTACCATTTTGCATACTTAATTAGATCTAACAATAAGCTTTTCATTTGCATGATGAGTTATATGATCCACAGGGCTACAAATTTAATTTTGGCCTCTGTTTCTGATGTAGCATATGTTTTATTGAAAAAGAAGAAAAAAGGTAATTGGTAATACTGCTATTAATTAGGCTGGCCAAAATATTTATATTAGAAAACAGATCCATTTAAATTATATGTGTGGCTGTGTGCCCTGTACAGCATATAGAGAGTAGAGCAAATGAATTTCATGTTGTGAATACACAGACTATTCAGGGGTAGAAATTAACTTCTTTTTATCTCATAATCTGAGTGTCAGCAAATCAAGTTTAAATAATATTTATGAATTCCACTGTAAATAAACATCCTTGTGACTGAGCACACTGACTTTCAAAAGTCAACTCATCTTTATGTTATGAGGTTTTACATTTTTGTTAAAATTCCATATTCATATATGGTTTTTATTTAATTCATAGTCATGGCTGCCACTTAATTTCAACCCCTGAGAGATGGTGAAAAGGAAAGTGGTCAGAAGCAGAAATGAAAGAGTAAGTAGTTTTAGGAAAACATTGGGGGGGGGGGGGGAAAAACTTGGAAGATGTAAAGATGCAGAATTTGTAGCTTATAGACACAATGTTTTTCACTTACTCTTCACTCCTTTCTTCCCCTTTCTCTCCTTTTTGTATTGCTCCTTCAGTTTGGTAATTACTCCCTGGTCCACATTCCAGGCTTCAGGCACCAGACACTGATCTTCCTTTTCTAAACAAAGTAAAACAAACAGTCTTTGTTCAGTGAAATATCAAACACTCTGATAGACACAATGATTTTCTTTAGAGTATCACTCACCAAAAAAACGCTATTTTTATATTCAAATAGGTGGCATACAAAATGTAACACCTAACAAAGGTCAATTCAATTTCCTAATTGATAAAATATTTCCCTTGAAAAAGACAGAAAAATAAACCTAGATTTAAGTCCAAGCATGTTATAATCATTTTCAATATTCATATCATATGTAATCAGTGATAGATTATTATTAAAAGACTACACAAAATCATCTTAAATGGTCTTTTCAAGAGTTTTAAACAGGCCACTGCGGGCAGGAAAGCAAATTAACCATCATCAGAGAAGCTTCCTCCTGCAGCAGCTGGGAACAAATACAGAGATCCATAGTCAGACAATATGCTGAGAGTGAGAGGCCTAAAAACATGTAGCCTTAAATGGGATTTCTCCATCAAAACCCTCCCCTCAAAGCTCATGGAACCCTGCTGAAGATGAGATAGAGTGCAAGAACCAGAGGAGATGGAGGGCACCAAGAAAACAAGGCCCTCTAAATCAACATGATCAAAGCTCACATGAACTCACAGAGACTGAGGCAGCATACACAGGGCCTGCCTTGGTCTCCACTGGGTCCACATATATTCTGGATTCCAGTGTAGTGTTTTTATGGGACTCTGGAGTATGTAAATGATCATTATGCCTTCTTTTGGGCTCTTTTCCTCTGTTTCTCTTGTCCAACTCAGATGTGTTAGTTTTGTTTTATATCTTAATATAATGTTTAATGTCTTAATAAAATATTATTAAATCTCTTTTTAAAAGATAATTATCAAAAGCAAAAAAGAGAGAAAGAGATGAGGTTTATGCTTTGGGAAGGTGCTACTGATTTACTAACAATGCTAGATCGACCAGTGAGTATCAGAGACAGTACATGGAAAGTACCTGATCAATATATTTTTTGAATTAACACTGGAATTATCTGAAATAAGAATAAACAGAAATCTATTTTTAAAGTAATTTAAGTTTTAGTCCAGTTTAAAAACGTGTCTGCTGGATCTCTGATTATACCATCTATCAGTAGTAGGAATAGTCTAGTCTTCCAGTAGAACTAACCAATTTACAAACAAACAAACAAACAAACAAACAAAAAACCGCTAACTTTGTGGGGGCCAGAGCGACGGCTCAATGATCAAGAGCACTGGCTGCTTTTCCAGAAGTCCTGAATTCAACTCCCAACACCCACATAGTGGCTCACAACCACCTCTGGTGAAATCTAATGTCCTTTTCTGGCATAAAGATATGCATGCAAACAGAGCACTCATGTGCATAAAATAAATAAATCTTTTTTTAAAATGCCAATTTTTACCAAGTCTTTCAAAAATTCTATTGTGTGTTCCTGTCCCCATCCTGAGAGACACAGCACCCATGTGGTAGTAAGATGACAAATTGCAGGAGTAGGTTCTTTCCTTCTACTATGTAGGTTCAAAGGCTCAAACTTGGGCTGTCAAGTTTGGAAGCAAGCACTTTTACTTACTAAGCCATCCTGGTAGCATTAAAGACATAATAAAGTGGCTGCTCTTAAACCTTGGAATAATTTTATCTTTTAAAGGGAGAAAAAAAATCACCCTTTTATACTCTCCAGGCACTCATAATAACAGCACTCACTATTGTAGTCTTAGCTATCCTGGAATTCTCTATATGCTTCAGGCTGGCCTTGAACTCATAGAAATCCACCTGCGTCTGCCTCCCCAAGTTCTAGGATTAAAACTGTATACCATCATGCCTGGTATAATTTTATTTTTTAAAAATGAATAAATCAAGGCCAGGGACTGGAGCAATGGCTCAAAGAGGTTTAAGAGCACTGACTGCTCTTACAGAGGACCCAGGCTTGATTTTAAGCACCACAGGGGTAGATCACAACTATCTGTAACTCCAGGGGATCAGACGCCCTCTTCTCACTTCCTCAGGCACCAGGCATGCATATGGTACACAAATGCACATGCAGGCAAAACATTCATACAGATAAAATAACTCTAAAGACAAAATTCAAGGCCCAGCTCCTAGCAAACAATCTATCAACTGAGAGCTTCTACTCACACTCATTAACAGATCTAGTACAAGATCACACTGAATTAAAATGTACATATACTGGTGTACAGCAAGTAACACTGGACTATGGCTCTTTGGCTGGAGAGAAGAGTGCTATACAAGAAAACACAGCTGTCCTTTGCAGAAAAGCCAGTAACAAGTATGCCTGCAACAAGACTAGCAATGAAAGACAGTCTCCTATCTGCACCGACACAGAATCTTTCAACAGAAGACTTCACCTGGGCAATGCCAGTCACCCTGGCAGAGCAGAAGTGCTAGCTCAGCTCCTGCACTTGGAAGTTACCACCTAAAATATGTAAGGAACTAGAAATAAGCTCAGGCACAGGGGTAGAAGAGAGGCCTTCTGCACTTTCTCCTTGGTTTTCAAACTTGGTGTGTTGAAAAAACAAGTCTTCAAACACCATATAGTATACCTTATTGTAGTTACCTGAAATCATTCTAGATTTTGCTTTGAAAAAAAAAAAAAAAAAAGGCGGGGGTGGGGGTGGGGAGTCAAGGAGGACCAGCACCAGTCTCTGACAGTGTCCCTAAAGGTAAGATCCTAAAGGTAACTATACAAGTAGAAAAAACATCTAATAAATTATCACTGCCAACATTCCTACTGCATGAGCATAGTAGTATTTACTTGTTCTGGGGCAAATCTTGCCAATAAGATTTAGAAGCATTTTCACTGAGGCCAAAGGACTGAAAAGACACTAGGGTTAGATGTACAACAGTTCTCTCTACTCCCAGGTTCCAACAAAAAAAGTAGGATCCTACAGCAGTGATTTGCTTGGCACTCCAACAGGACCTCTAACAAGACAGTGGGTTTGATTAGGTGGTGATGGGGTTTTGGGAGAGGGGTGTAGGGTTTACCCTGAATACAAAGAATTTGTCAGGCACCTATATACCAGGATACACAGTGTGTAGAGAAATCTCTTTCTTTGCCTTTAAAGTGATTATTAGCAATTTTCATTGTACATACAGAGTTTCTGACAGGAAAAAAAAGCTATAAGACAGGGATTTTATTAAAAAAATATTATTATTAAAAAATATTAGGAAATCTGTCCCCTGAACTTACCCAAAAGAGCTTTCCCAGTCACTAACATGATCAAACAAGTGTGAAGAAAGAAAAATTTTAATATAAGTCAAGAATCTTAATTTTTTCTTTTTAGCTTTAGAATTATTTCATTTCTTTTCTTCAAAGAAAAAGTATTTTTAAAAATTCAAGGACAAGTTACTGGGGAAAAGGATTTCTATTTTTGTTTCCACAGAAAATGAAAAGATGTGGATTCCTTCCAGACTAATGTGGTTTGATCAAGCCTGAAACAGAGTACCAGGTGATCCTACATGCAAAACAGCTGGACAAAGCAGCCTTACAGACTACAGCCAGGATTTCTGCATCTTTTTAGAATCCCCCATGACAGCGCCCCTTACCAGCAGGAAGTAGTTTGGAAAGAACAACACCCAAATTCCCAAATATTGTCTATAAATATTTGTTTTCATTTAAATGGACTTGGTTATATAAAATAAATAAATAAATAATTAAAAAAAATTAGGGCTTAAATTAGTATTTCTAACATTTGTAGCCAAAAGGTAAAATAAAATTTTGCTAGATATAAGTAATACCATGTTGTAGGATTGTAGTCTGGGTTCCAGCTCCTGAATCTACTGGATTAATACTTAAAGTAGCTGTCTGAACAAAAGCTAGTGGAAAGCTCATAATGTGGTACAGCTAATCTGAATGGCACTCAACAAATCTATAAAATAATATTTGTGCCATGTTTATAGAAACCTTGACCTTTATGAACAAAATATTTAAAAGTACTTCAAACAAAAAATCATTGGTTCATGTTTTAGGAACACTAAGACGACGCTTTTCCAGAAGTACACTTAAAATAGTATTACGATAGCTGACATTACATTCTCTTGATAAGTACTTGCAAATATTAGAACCTCCCTTCTTTTCTTTCTCTCTTTTACACACATATACACACACCTGACAGAGTGCTCACTTTTGAAGGATTTATCATAATTCTTTAAAGTACTACAATAATCTGTCACAGAAGTTCCCGTCAAATATTTGTTAGTGCTTGTTAGAAGTTTCAGATATTTAGAGTGATTTAAAGCAATCAGAACAAAACCCCTCAAACTATGCCTGCATAATCTATAAAGACCCAAAGAAGCATAGAAACTATAATTTTCTAACATAATTTGTTTAACATAGAAGATGTAAGACACAAGAAAACTAATTCCTCTATTACATCCTCATTCTCAGGTTTCCCCAAAATCTAGATTAGCAGGTTCTACTTGTCTGAGCAGAAAGCAAAATAGCCCATGTTTTATTTCAAATTCCTTTCATGCTGTATTCCTCATACACTAAAGAAGGAGGAGAAAGAAGAGTAGGCACTAGTTACACTATCTTCCTTACAGGTAACCACACAACCCAGACACTCCCGATGTGTAGCATTTCAGATTCTAGTGTTTCCAAGACATAGCCCTCCTGGTAGAACACTAAGTTCTGGCATTCACTCAGATCTCTGGCTGATCCAGTCTGCTTCCTTACCCCAGTCGGTTCCATCCCCTGCACTTCTAGATTCACTGTCTCCATCCTCTGATGTGGCCAGAAAGTCAAACTCCTTCAGCGCTTCCTTTGTGTCTCGATCTTCACTGCTATCAGGTAATGCTTTTTTCCGAACAATCTAAGCAAAGGAGAGAAAACATGTCAAACTAAAACATTTAACTTAAATAAGAGACAGTATCCCCTCATAATTGAGTAAGCAAAGCAACCGTTTCCTTCACAAAGTATGCATTTCCTTCACAATGTATACATTTTCTGTATTAAAAAAAAACTGCAGGGCCAGGTGTTGGTGGAGCACACCTTTGACACCAGCACTCAGGAGGCAGAGGCAAGCGGATCCCTGAGTTCGAGGCCAGCCTGGTCTACAGAGCTAGTTACAGAACAGTCTTCAAAGCAATACAGAGAAACCGTCTTGAAAAACAAAACAAAAAAACCTGCAATAGCTAACTCAGTGAAAACCACATCGTATTTTTTTAGAAACAAACATACATCTTAAAGCAGTAATTTAAATTTTGTTCAAAGGTATGAAAGCTTACTTAAACTTATATATATATATATATACACACATATATATGTATATATATATATAGCTATAGATCTCAATGAATAAGCAAAATTTGTTCTTAAATTTACACAGATTACATTTATGTTATGAGAGCAATTAACTCTAACATTCCTTAGATACAGTCTGTGCAGTCTTCAGACATTCTGATCTAACCCAAATAGGAGACATTCCATAAAGTGTGAAATGTTTCCAGAATAGAGCCATGATAACTGAATGTAACTACAACATACTCACAAAACCTGTGTCACAACACAAAATCAGAAATGAGTGTTTTAGGGATCATAAAAACTCCATAGGGTTCTGATATTAGGTCCACTGCCCTCAATTTCTCTAATAGCTCTATTTTATTTCCTGTCTTAGTATATAGTCCTGGCAAGCCTTGCAACAGAGCTGTTCCTGCTCTAGAATGCTGGGATGAGAGACAAGTACCATGTGCCCAGCTCAGTAGAGTTAGGCTATGAATAAAGTATTTTGGTAGGAAAATGGTTATCTTAAAGCAATCATCATACCAAAAAGTGGAAGGAACTTTAGATAATTAGAAAAACAACAACAAAAAAGGAATAGACATTTAGACCAGCATACATTATTATAACTTGTTTTGTGAAGCAAAATTTGAGTGATTACTTGATATTTAGCTATATCTATGATTGGGCTAGGATTAGCAGTTTAAATGATTAGTGCATAGAGAAAATGCCCATGCTTGACTAAGCAGAGTGAAACATGTCTTCATCTCTTACTTTAAAAAGGAGAAAGAAAAAGCAGGAAAAGGGGAAAAATAAATAAAAGAAAGAAGAAAGGAGGAGGAAAGTGACTAGAGAAAGAAGAAACAGCAACTTAGAGACACTTCTTATTGTAGGAAATGCATGGGACATTCAATAAACTTATACTAAGGATCAAGAAAGAACACAGGAATTCTGGACAACTGAAGAAAGTGATGGGAGAGTTCAGAAAATCTGTAAAACTGTTGCAGCAGCTCTCCCAAGTGTCACAGCTGATGCTAGCTGCCATCAGGCACCACCGTGTGTCTGTCAATTCTTCTGACATAATATCAATACCAGGGCATTGTTACAACACACAGTGGTCAGCACCTCTGCAGTTCTATGGACATGCTGCCTTGTTTAATGAGTTAACAAAAGATCTGGGCACCCTATGAGAAAGAGTCCTTACTAACAATACATTAAAATTAAAATCAGTAATAAAAACCTTCTTCTTGCTCTAAATTCATGAAAAGGACATAAGGGTTCAAGATGCAAAGGACAAGGGCTTTATAACATATGCATTAAGGCACCTAAAAACATTGAAATGAGCTCTCTAACTCACTGTGGAAGTATCAATGACACTTTTCTCTCTTCCATCAACGTCCTCGTCCTCATCTTCATCACTGAAATCTGTAGCTGCATTTTCAAGGAACTTGAAATTGTCCAGTACAGAGGCAGAATCCGTTAACTCAGATTTTCTGGTTTAAAACATATACAATCATACTCAGGTAAATGTCACCATAAAAATGATTGTGATAGGTTTCAGTAGTTTGTGTTTGTGTTATGTATAATCCCCTAACTATATCATGACCCTTACTGATTTCCAATTATCACAGTTCTGTGAATTAACTGGAAAAGTAAGACAAAAAGTATTGAGTCACTTCAATCCTATCTGTTTAGAAGAGCAGCAATAATGAGTCCCCTTCTGACAGATTGATCTGCATGTTAACCTCACTGTGTTTCTTTAAATATACATGTATCTGTTATTAAGTAGCACTGCCTCCATCCTTCTCTGTTGTTTCTGCTGTGCAACTCTTTGACCTCTCATGTAAGTTTCCATAACTATATAACAAATCTACTGCCTTAACTTAAAAGGTAAAAAGACAACTATTCTTACCATGCATATTTTGTACATCTCTAAAGAGAATTACGTTAATTTTTAAAAGGTCTAATGGCATTTATTTATAAAATTTTTATTTTGAACCTTTGTCTAATTCTACAATTTCATGTGTCAGATAACAGGAACTATGTTTTCCCAAAGAAATTTAGAGTTCAATCAACCATTCTTTTAGCCTAAATATGAGTTAAAACAAAGTCAGCACATACTTAGACATTCACAGAATCTGTTCTTTTATTTAATGAAGATTTATGACAAATTTTTCTACTAAAGAATAATCTCTATTTGACTATATTCATTTAAGTAAAATAATAAATAAAATTAAATAGTTCAAATAACTTTTGAATTTTTACACTTAATCTATTAATTCAAAATATATGTGTGTGTGTAATACACATATATTTAAAAGTTATTTTATATCAAAGGAAGATAAGGAACAATATTATGCTATAAATTAAATGATTAAGAAACTATTTACTTTCTGATTTATGATTCACCAATAAAACATCATTCTTACAAATCTGTACTTAATTTTAACAGCATCTTTTAAGAGATTCTAACAGTGGTTAACTGAGATTCAAGATACTAAAATCTGCTAAAAACCAAGTTTAAAGCAAATAAAAACACCTTAAATAAAAATTATGTTCCTGAATTAAAATAATTATAAAGGCTTCTATATAAATGAAACTCTTAAAGTATAACATTTAATTAACTAAAATTAAATTATTACTATGTCATCATTTAAAAGTTCAATGCCTTCCATATCAAAAAATATTTAATATGAACTAAAGTTATAGCTAAAACTATTTCCAGTCAAAATACTCACCCAATCATTGCTGTCTCTTTAACTTCAGCCTCTGTGCCATTTATAACCGAGTCCTGGTTTTTGTCATCTTCCCTGTCAGTGACATCACTTGAAAAGCCCAATAATGCTCGCACTCTTTTGGATTTCACATCTAGAATAGTATCTGTGTAGCCAACCTCCTGGAGATACCTGCACAAAGACGATCCTCACAATTCAGTCACACAGGAAATTAGCATTGTAAAATTTAAAACGTAAATAAAACTATTTCTTCACACTTACTGACTACATAGGGTTTAACAGAACAGTACTATGTCAGTAAGACTTGTTAATAATATTCCAGCTGCAGATGGAGCTGTCTCTTGCAGTACCAGCCTCTACAGTCACTGAGAAAAACCAAAGAACTATACAATAACACTATTCATTTATCCTAGAAGAAACTGTTCTTCAATGTATTTCAGAACACATGTTTTTTTGTAGGAAGAATGGAACAACCTTCTCCCAACTCTACCATTACTATTTTATAGTAATGGTGCTAGTTGTTTTTGACATTTCTTATGTGAAGTGTCATTAATTGAAATCTGGAGAGAATGCTTCTAAATAGTTTCTTTCCACAATACAGAAAAGGGAAAAAAATATTCATAACAGCCACTTGCAGAAGAGACAATTGAATTGTGGGACATGAAATATATACAGACTCGTCAATGTGTATAGTTCCAGGGAGTCAGAGGCACAGAAGAACACAAAGTTATATCTGGGTCTTAAGCCCATTTCCACCACCTCCATGATGGGCAGCCTTATTTAAGCTGTTTCTGTTCTCATCAAGGAGCTCGAATACCACCTAAGATATACACAAAACCACTCTAAACCCAAGAGTCCTAACATTAACTGTTAAAAATGTGTTTCAAAAGACCAAACGTGGTAGTGGTGGGACCAGAACAAAGGAAATGATATTGATATCACATATAATGATGACATGCATTTATTTATATAGTAGGTATGCATTCTACTGATGGAAAAATGAAGGCTGACAAGACAGCTATTTTAAATTCAGCTTACTTCAGGCTTTCATCTCTATAGTTACTAAAAGACACTACACAAAGCTATGTGATCAAATGGGAAAGTACATCTTATTAAATCAAGATGCTCACTTTTCAGTCCCATCCAGTATCTACAGAAAGGACTTGATTTGAAAATTTGAAAGAGTAACTCCTGCTTGTTGAATTTAATCAGATGTTTTTGAAAGTTACTATAATAAAGTAAGATGTAACACTTAAACAATTTTAGGCTTATTTACATGTATGAATGTTTTGCATGCACATGTATATGTATACCACATGCGTGCCTGCTGTCTGTAGCACTCACAACAGGGCTTCTGATCCCCTGGAACTTCAGTTACAAATGGTGGTGAGCCACTGTGTGGATTTCCAGGGCCTCTGAAAAAAGCAGCCAGGGCTTGAAACTACTGAGCCATCTCCAAGTCATCGTTCTATTTTTAATAATTAATATTTGGTATGTACCTCACTTTGGCAACAAAACTAAATACAAATTTGTCCTTCAAAACTGCTTTGCCACAGATGTTAGTTTCATTAAATAGTTAATACATAGCTTGCTGATAAAATTTCACCTTTTTGAGAAGTAGGTTAAAGCTTGAAAATTTCAAAAATTACTATATAACCACTTCTTATTAACAAAACAAAAAACTAATCAGCATTTTAAAAATGATTACTATTTTATAAGCAAGGGTGGTGGTGGTGGTGCATGCCTTTAATCCCAGTACTTGGGAGGTAGGTAAAGGCCTGCAAATTAAAGGTCTGTCTGGTCTACAGAGTGAGTTCCAGGACAACAAGAGCTGTCTTAGAAATGAAAAAATAACCATTATTATTTTATGTGTATGGGTGTTATGCCTACATTTTTATCTGTGCACCATGTGTGTGCCTGGTGCCTGAGAGACCAGCAGCAGGTGTCAGATGCCTTGTAATTAGAATTACAAACAATTGAGAGCCGCCATGTGGGTACTGGGAAATGAACCCAGGTCCTCTGCAAGAGCAGAAAGTGCTCTTAAATGCTGAGTCATCTCTCCAGCCTCCCAAATTAGCATTTTAAGAGCATTTATCCATTTAAAAACTGAAAAAGCCTAAGACACAGTGGCACACACCTGTAACTAATGCTATTGGGAGGCTAAGGAAGGAATAGTACAAATTCAGAACTAGCCTAAGTAACTTAATGAGCATGCCAATAAATAAGTAAATGTGCTAACAGGATCTTTGTGTGGCTAAGAAAGAGACCACTTGCTTGGTGTGGCAGCTAACAGTACCAAAATATTTACAGTATCAAAAGTAAATTTAAAAAGAAAAATGAATGTCCTATCTAAGACTAAAGTGAAAACAGTAATGAAAATCCACTTAATAGTTAAAATTTTTTCTAACTTTATCTAGATAAAAGACAGGTATGAGATATTGTAATATTGTTTTTCTATAATAATGGCATTAGTCTACTTGGAAAACTTATAAACTACTAATAAGCCATCCCAAAAGTCCAAAATAGAATAAATTTCCTTTTACTTTGGCATAAATCTATATACCAGTTTATAGGACTACAGGTCCTTGACATCAGACTTGACATCAGACCCTCTGCAGAATCCCAGCCACACACTTAGGAGAAAGTATGCATTAGGCAGCACCTGAAAAATATGGGGATCCACAGTGATGGGGGTTGCCTTTCTGTACATATGTTTCTCTTATTGGTTAATGAATAAAACACTGTGTGGCTAGTGACCACGCAGGAAGAATAGGCGGGGCTACCAGAGGAGGAGAATTCTGGGATGTGTAGGCAGAGAGGAGTCATCATGTGAGCCAGGAAGATAGAACTCGAGTCAGGTGTTCTCCAGTAAGATAAGACCATGTAGAGATACATAGATTAGTAGTTATGGAAAGCCCAAGCCATTGGCCTACAATTTCATATTAATATAAATCTCTGTGTGTTATTTTGGGGCTCAAGAGTGGTGGGACCTGCCAGGCCAAAAATCTCTCGTTAAATCATAGAGTTCTTCAATGTTCTGAAAAGTCTTGTAACAGGAATGTACGTGGGAATCCCTGTAGGTTTGTAGTAAAATGTCTATGTTTAGAGAGTTGATGAAAATGAGAATAATAATAACATAGAATTTTTTTAACCACATAAATTCCAACAGTGGGGAGAAATGTAAATATGAAAAATGAACATTAAATCAATTAGGTTTTTTAAACTACCTTACTAATTACTACTTTAAACAGTAGTATAATACAAGAGAAACTCGTGAGTTAAAAATACAAACAAAGAGGCTAGAAAGATGGTTCAGATGTTAAGAGCACTAGCTGTTCTCCCAGAGGTTATGAGTTCAATTCCCAACAACCACATGATAGCTCACAACCATCTGTAATGAGATCTGGTGCCCTCTTCTGGCATTCGAACATAGATTCAGGCAGAACACTGTATACATAATAAATAAATCTTTTATAAAAATTACAAATAAAGCATGAGCAAATTTTTTTTTCACTTTCAACAAGTTGTACACTTAATCTTGGGTACTTACTGTCTGAGTAGCTGCCGGCCTTGCTTCCACATTAACTGGCTATTTTGCTGTGGCTGCACCTCTGCTTCATTGCCTTCATCTGGAGAATATCAAACCATAATGAAATTGACTTATTTGGGCAATTTATAGACAGTGTCCAATAAACATTAGAAGTTTAAGAATATGAAAACTATAACTTTTAAGAGATATGTTCTAGGGCAATATGAACTGTTTATAACTCAAATTTTGGTAATAAAACTGTGTATGATTAAGTTATCTCTACTGGATTCCCTTTAGAGCAACAAAATTAAAAATAAAGGCATTTTTTTTCTTTCACTTTTTACTAGCCTGGGAATTTTCCTCCAGGACAAAGACCTACCAAATCATGTTACATAGTGAGAACCAAATAGAAATATTATAAAACCTAGAAATGTTAATAAAAGTAAAACAAGCAAAAACCCTAAACAGTCTGATACAAATATGTAAGGAAATGAACTCAGAGCTGAATGGTGGTGACACACACTTCTAGTCCCAGCACTTGGGAAGCAGAGATAAGAGGATCTCTGAATTTGAGGCCAGTCTAGTCTATAGACTGAGTTCCAGGACAGCCAGAGCTACACAGAGAAACCCTGTCTCAAAAATAAAACAAAGTCAAAATGAATAAAGGTAAGAAATTATTTTAGCTGGGCATAAAATGCTGGCCAGGCATGCTTAAAGTCGTGGGTTCTATCCCAAGCACTGCATGAAACAAGGCACAGTGGCACAACTTTATAATCCACACTAGGGAGGTGGAGACAGCAAGATCAAAAAATGAAGACCAGACTGGCCTCTCAATTTCTTAATAGCTAAGCCATCTATCCAGCCCCAATAAAGCTCTTTTATGCACAGCAACTAGACCTTTGTATTACTAAAGAACTCTGTAAATTGTATGGGGGAGGGGATTAAAATAATTGAAAATATATGACGGCATGCATACATGTATACACACACACACACACACACACACACACACACACACACACACACACACAGTGTTTCATCAAAGCACTATGATTAAACATATTGCTTTGAATCAGACAGTACATACCTATAATAATCTTTTGAAGACTTGCCCATTTATTCTTTCTAAATTTTTTTTTGGGGGGGCTGGAATTTCAGAGTAATGGTTCAATCAATAAAGTACTTGCTACATAAATATATAACTTTGAGTTAAATGCTAGCATTTACATTTCAAAAACTAAAATATTTAAAAAGAAAAAAAGCTAGTCATGTCTATAAACCCGTCACTGGTAAGGTGGAGATACATGGTACTTGGCCAGTCTGTGTAGCTGATCTGTGAGCTCCAGGTTCTCAGAACTCTGCCTACAGGACCCTATGCTGAGCACACCACCACAGACAGGCCCTCTCTTAGGGTTCAACCTGCTCAGCCCATCCCCTGGCCTGGGCCCTTCCAATTGCTTATACTACCCATTAAGAGACTAGCTCCCCTGTGCTCTGTCCTCTCAGGTTTCTTCAATTAAAAACAACAGCAATTAAAAGAAAAAAGAAAGAAAGAAAAACATATGAATAGAATATACAAGAATATTGGTAGTATACCATGTAATGACCAAATATATGAATTATAGGTATAAGGGAAGGAAAAGATTTTCAGATCAAAGGCATTGAAACAAACCCTCAATAAAAATCCCAGCAATGGATGCCCATTCAGGTACAAGGAGCACACAGAGCAAAGGACTAGAGAATTCCCCACTCCATGTTATAGCTAAAACACTAAATACACAGAAGGGAGGGAGGCTAAAGACAAACAAAATCAGGCCCACACTACATATTAAGAGCCATGAGAATAATGCTGACTTCTTGATGGGAACTTTGTGACTAACAACCCAGACCAGTAGAGAATACAAGGACTACTCTGGGATGAACTTTAAGAGAACCACAGCCAAGAGGCTCCAGGGAAAAAGATTAATGATGACAAGCTAGCAGGTATGCAAAGTAAGACTACCACTGTGGTGATATTTTGTTTATGATATGACAAAGCTTGTCTGAAGATCAGAGTGCAAAACTACCCACACTAGCTTTCCACAGAGGCCAAGCAGGGTTGGTACACACCTTTAATCCTAGCACTCAGGAGACAGAAGCAGACACATTTCTGTGAGTTCAAGGCCACCCTGAGCTGCATGAAATTGATCCAGTCTAAAAGAGGAACAGTGTTCACACAAAGGTAATCTCAGCACTTGGGTACACACCTTTAATCACAGCACTAGAGAGGATTATAAGGCAGGAGGAGACAGGAGCACAGTGTAATCTGAGAAGTGCACCTGGGAGCAGTGTGAGGTTCGGTGGGTCACCCCTGCAGTCTGAGCATTGGTAGAGAGAGGTGAGAATGTTCTAGCGGCTGGTCGCTTTGTTTCTCTGATTTAACCCCATTATTATTCGTGCTACATACCACATGCCACAAAATCAGCAAAACAACAGTGATTAATACCCATCTCTCAATAATAGCTCCAAATATCAGTGCCCTCAAACCCCTAATCAAAAGCTACAACTGTATTAGAACCAACTCTACTAGAAAACAGGGTCTATCTTTCTGTTGCTGACAAGAATTACATACACCCTGTGCCCAAGGACAGATACTGCTTAGAGTGAATGGATGGAAAGAAAGTAACTACAACCAAATGAAGCAGGAAACAAGAAAACACACCAATACGCTAATATCTGACATCATGGACATCAGCCAAAACTAGTAAGAGAACAGTCTGATCAAACAACCCACAGAGCATATTTTAATTCTAGACATTTTAGCACCAAACTCAGGGCATCCAAATTCATGAAATACAAAAAGTAATGGTAGGTGACTTTAATTAACAAAAAAAAAAAAAAAAAAAAAAAAAAAAAGGGAAGTTAGATGTCATCAAGTACAAAAATAGATTTAACATATAGCTACAAGATATTCTACCTGAACATTATAAAATATATACTCTTTTAAAAAGCACAAAAAAATTTCTCTAAAATAATCAGGCTCTGGGACCCAAAGCAAATCTCAACAAATTTAGAAAAATTGAAATAACTCTATGTATTCTATTTGACCACAATGTAATAAAGCTTGTTATCAATAGCAAAGGAAACTACAGAACACACACGGTAATGGAGACTGAAAACACAGTAAGTATTCAGCTAGTGTGCTGGTACAGAGGCAGGCAGATGTTTGTGAGTGAAACTTACATGTTCTACAGAGAGCAGAGGCTACATAGTGAGAACCTGACTAAACAAAACCAGACACTGAAGAAATGAAGAAAGAAAAAAAAAAATCTTGAAATGAAATTGAAACGAAAACACAATATACAAAAACCTATGGGATAAAAGGAAAGCAAACCTAAGAGGGAAACTTTCAGCATTAAGTATCTACAAATAAGACTACAAAAGCAGTGCACGTACAAAAGCAGGAGAGAGGGTAGGAGGGAGGGATTGAGGGAGGGGGAACTGGGATCCACATGTAAAATAAAAAAATAATAATTAAAAAAGAATACAAAAGCAGAAAGAGGGACTGGAGAGGGGCTCGGCAGTTAAGAGTATGCACTGTTCTTTCAGAGGGTCCTGAGTTCAGTTCTCGGCATCTACATCACGTGGCTCAGAGCCACCTGTTAACTCCAGCTCCAGGGGACTCAGTGCCCTCTTCTGGCCTCTACAAGCACTCATGTGAGCATGCACAACTTAAAATTCAAAGAAATAAGGAAAGAATAAGAACTCAAATAAGTAACTTAAAACACACCTCAAAAGTTTGAAAAAAAATGCTAGATGGTGGTGGTGTACACCTTTAATCCTAGCACTCAGAGGCAGGTGGATCTCTGTGACTTTGAGGGCAGCCTGGTTCGAGAGCAAGTTCCAGGACAGCTTCCAAAGCCACAGAGAAACCCTGTCTCGAAAACCAAAAAAAAAAAAAAAAAAAAAAAAAAAAGTTTGAAAAAACAAGAACAAATGAAAACCCAAAAAGCAATAGGTGGAAAGAAATTATCAACACCAGGTCAGAAATAAATGAAATGGAAAAATTGCAAAGAATATGTAAAATGATTAGTTAGTGCCTTGGAAAGATAGGCAGGATTGATAACCCTGAGCTGAATAGGCTAAAAGACATAGAACACTTAAATTAATAAAATTAGAAGTCAGCAGAGACAACAAATATCAAAACATTCAGGAAAATCTCAAGAGCATATTTGTAATATTCTGGGCCAGGCGTTGGTGGCACACACCTTTGATCCCAGCACTAGGGAGGCAAAGACAGGCGGATCTCTGTGAGTTCAAGGCTAGCCTGGTCTACAGAGCTAGTCCAAGACAAGCTCCAAAGCAATACAGAAAAACCAAAAGACTACTACATTTGGAATTCATTTTGGAAAACTTCTCCAGTGTGTTTAAATGTGCAGAAATGGGAAGAATATGAATTTCTAAGTTAGATAAGGCTGAGTTCAATTCTATATTCCACATCATTTAATGACTGGTTAACCTCAGGTAAAAATTTCCAACTTCCTGAGTTTAAGTTTTGCATACATAAAATGAAAATAACCGTATCTTTATTAAATGATTATTTCAAGAATTAAAGTTAATGAAGTCCCTAGAATTATGGATTTTAATAAAAGATAGAATGATTTCTAATACCTTCACTAGCTGAATAAGAATTACATCTGAAATAAGACAAAATTTAAATATGGTAATAGCTTTGGTACAATTTTCCTCACATTTCCTTTACACCTGCCAATGAACAAACCCTGCGTTTCTGTTAAGTAATAAAGTACACTTAAGGGGTCAAGCTTGCTTGCTTTTTGTTTACTGGCAATACTGAGGATTAAATTTAGGCCTGGTACAACTTAGGCATGTGCTCTGACTATGGTGGCATCATGCTTCAGGGATTTGCCATCTGCCTATGCTCTTGACAGTCTCCATAGTTCTGCTCCGTCATGGATTTCAAGGACAGCATACACTTTGTTTTGCTCATGCATAGAAGTGAGGTTGGTGCATGCTACCCCACTATGTCGGAACCATCTACTATATGTAGAATTTAGGCAGAAAATTGTGAACTAAAAGAGGTAAATGAAGAAAAAGAAAGTGCTCCAAAACGATCTCATGAGACTAAATGGTTAGTGCCCAAGAGACAAGACAGCAAAAGATAGGATGCAAATATATACTTAGTTTCAAATGTTTCTGCAAAATATTAGACATTCACTTTTTAATATGTAACTTCCTTTATAAGTAGCTTACCAGAATCATAGCTTGGAGGCTTCATGTCTCCCTGATTCAGTTCTGTTCCATATTTCAACTTGTGGTACTTGGCTCTAACAAAGAAATGAGAAAATATAAGCCAGATTAAAACATAGTTAAATAAGTTTTAAGATATATAAGAGAAGTTATAAGTGTGCAACAGTCCTGGCTAAACATGCCTAGAATTGTCAAAGGCTCTGAGATTTCCAGAGTGTCAAAATAATAAGGAACAAAAAAATGCTTGCCTTTTTTGTTGTTGAATCACCAACTGTCATTATAATGAAACAAAGGAATAACAATAGAAGTAAAAAAACCACATTTATACCATATAAATTCTAGTTTCTGTTATATTCAAATTTTCTTGATGACTTTAAGCTGAATTATATCCATGAATAAAAGACTTCTTCACTGTATAATCTAATTTATTAAGATTAGCCTTTCCCAATATTTGAGTTTATCTTAAAAAGAAACATTACCTATTTTGTTATGTGCCTCACTGGGTATTTACAATCCATCAGATATTCTTATGGTGAGCCATCACAGCATGACAAAAACCAAGATGCAATCATCCCTGTTCAATAAGATATTCTAGCAGTAATGGTTAAAAATTTCCCTTAGTTGACATCAGGAAAAAAAAAAAAACACACAATTAGGAAGACTGTCTAATTTCCTTTTAAAGTTAGCAGAGTATTATTATTTTCAGCTTAACTGGCCTAGCCATCTGATTTAAGCATCTCAGGTCTTTCTTGTTTCAAGAAAAATGATCCAGATAAGGTGATTTTATTTTTAAAGATTAACTGAAAAACAAAAAACACATATGCTTAATATAGTTGCATATTTTAATTCTCTCTATAAAGCTTTTTGTAAGTAAATATCCAATGAGTTGACAGACAACAATGAAAATATAGAAATAAACAATAATTTTCAGAACCAAAGTGAAAATGAAGGAAAAGGCAACATAGCCAAATAGAAAATATTTCCTTCTTATAAAAAAAAAAAAAATGAATGCTGTGCAAGTGGTGGGGTGTGTGTGTGTATGGGTATGTGAGGGGTGTGTGTATGGTGGGAGGTGTGTATGTCAGGGTGTGTATGGGTTGTGGGGGGTGTGTATGGTGGGGGTGTGTATGGGTTGTGTGGGGGGTGTATGGTGGGAGGTGTGTGTGGTGGGGTATGTATGGTGGGGTGTGTATGGAGTTGTGTGTATGGTGAGGATGTATGGGGTGTATATATAGTGGTGTGTATGGTGTGGGGGGTATGTAGTGAGGGGTGTATGGTAGGGTGTGTATGGTGGTGAGTATGGTGTGTGTGTACAGTGGGGTGTGTATGGGGGTGTGTGAATGAGTGTGTGTGGGGTATGTATGGGAGTGTGTATGGTAGGGTGTATATGGTGGGGTATGTATGGTAGGATGTGTGTATGGTGGGGTGTGTGTGGAGTGTGTGTATATGGTGGGGTATGTATGGGTGTTAATGTGTGTGAAGGCCTAATTATGGGAGTGTAAATGGGGGTGTGTATGGTGGGGTGAGTATGGGGGTATGTGTGGTGGGGGTATGTGTGGTGAGGGTGTGTATGATGGGGTGTGTATTGTGGGGTGTGTGTAGTAGGGGGTGTATGATGGGGTGGGGTAAGTATGGTGGTGTGTGTATAGGGGTGTGTATGGTAGGGTGTATATAATGGGGTATGTATGGTGGGGTGTGTAGGGGGTGTCTATGGTGGGGTGTGTATGGTGGGGTATGTATGGTGGGGTATGTATGGTGGGGTGTGTAGGGGGTGTCTATGGTGGGGTGTGTATGGTGGGGTGTGTAAGTGGGGTGTGTATGGGGGTGTGTATGGTGGGGTGTATGTATGGGGGGTGTTCTGGGTAGATGGTTCATCAGTTAAGAGCACTGGTTACTCTTCCTGGCTCACAATTATCTATAACCATATTTCCAGGGATCTGAAGCCCTCCTCATCACCAGGCACACACATGGTATATATACACACATATATACAGGCAAAAAATACACACAAACACAAAAAAACATAAAAATAAGTTAATATTTTTAAAAAAGGATGGAACACATCATAAGATTTTATATAATTTAAAGTTAGATAAAGAAAATTATTCACTCTGATATGCGTTACCAAAGTCATTCTTCATTATTTTTCAATAATCATTTTGTAGTCAGAGAAAAACTGTATTTTTAAAAATTTACTAGTTTTTCTATAGAGGGGAGTTTTAAGGCAATTTACAAGATTATAAGTACTAAATTATCTAGAACATGATTCTCCATATTTCCAATGTGTCTTTTAAAACAATGAATTCATCGCTGAACTAAAAGTTTTCAAATCTATTTCCATATATTTGAAATAGAACTGATGTTCAAAAGGTAAGCTGTGGGAACATTAGCTTGACTACAGTTATAAGAAAGTAAGGTTCTTAATATAAATGCCATTCTTCAGATTTACAGAAAAATTTCATCACCATCTCCCATAAGACAAAGTTAACACTAGCTTCTTAAAAGTCACAAGGCCTGATGAGGGATAACGGTAACATTCAAATAAAAGTAGCCACAAACTGTAGGAACCTTATTTATATTATGTAAACACACATTGAGAAAGAATTTCCCAATATAACATGCATTCTAGTAGTCTTAGAAAAAAGCTGCAACAGAAGTTATTTTTAAAATAATCAGAAAACATTAAATACAACATATGGAACAAAACAGTCACATTAACAACTACTATTTCACAAAAAAATTAAGACCAAGCCAAAATATGTAAATAACTTGTGTTTAGGACAAGCTCTGTCTCCTAAGTTCTTGCTGCTCTTCCAGAAGTTCTGAGTTCAATTCCCAGCAACCACACGGTGGCTCACAACCATCTATAATGAGATCTGATGCTCTCTTCTAGTGTGCAGGCATACATGCTGGCAGAACACTGTGTACATAATAAATAAATAAATAAATAAATAAATAAATAAATAAATCTTTAAAAAAATAAACAGCCTCATAAACAAAATGGAAGTAAAAAAAAAAAACATGTTCACTCACATCTTATATGTTGAATGCTTGTGTGTTTGTGTGTGCACACATGTTATGTGTGCGCGCGCACAAGTAAGTGTGCTGGTATGCAAGTATGCAAATGTGTGTATAGAAGCCAGAAGTCAAGGTTAAGAATCTTCCATTATTATTTTGTATGCTGTTTTTTGAGACAGGGTCTTCACTGAACTCAGAGCTCTCCATTTCAGTTTTATCAGCTAGTCAGTAAAGCTCCATGCCTATCTCTGACGTCATGCTGGGGTTAAAGCTAAGTGCTACTGTGCCTGGTTTTCTTGAGAGTGGGGGCAGCTGGGGATCTGAACTCTAGTCCTTATACTTAAATGGCAAGCACTTTAACCTCTGAACCGTCTCCCCATTCCCTAATTTCAACAAACCATTGGATCCTTACCATATGCAAGCTGATATGCTGACTGCTGGAAATAACCTGCAACTTACAGTGAGGTAAGAGTGAAAACAAGAGGATGCCTAAGACATGGGAAAATCATAACTATTACAAACTGGGATAAGCACTGTAAGCATGTATCTGAAGAATGTGGACAAAGGATTATCTAATTCTGCAAAATGTAGTGTCACATAAAACTATACAAAAAGTAACATGAGATCTTTAACTAAATTTCAATCAGTACGATGTACAAGATAATTGTCTGAATTTTTACAAACAACTACTGTGTTTAGGACAAACCTTGTCTCCTAAAACATAAACATTCAGTAGGCCAAAATGCTACAAACACTAGATTTAGTGAGCAAAAGAATGAGAAAGAACAGAATTCAAAGAAAACACCAAACAAGTGCTACTTATATAGGAACAGCTTGAAATTAACCAGGTATATTAATGCAGGGATATAACATGATTATTCCTTTTTTAATTTGTAATACCCAGTATTAAAGCACTAGAAAAATAACTTTGGACTGAAAAGAAACCAAATGTTCCATGATACAAAGAACATGCTTTGTATTTATGGTGATATCCTGAGAGATTGCTCAGTAGTTAATTAAAATCACTAGCTACTCTTCCAGAGGACTTGAGTTTGACTCTCAGCACCCACATGGCAGCTTACAACTTTGTGTAACTCCAGTTCCAGGGGATTCCAACACTCTCTTCTGGTCTCTGTGAATACCAAGCCCACACATGGTGCCCACATGATGTACACAGGCGAAACACCCACATGTGTGAAATAAACTAAGAATAATAATAATGAACCTTTTTATTTTTAAGTTTCATTGCAGCTGTACATGATGAGGCATGCCTGTACCCCAGCACCCAGAGACGACAGGGATTCCATGACAGATGAATGTGAGCTCTAGACCAACCTGAGCTACACATCAAGACTCTGTCCAAAGGGAAAATAACTAATCAAACTGAACAAAACAAGTGCCACTAGATCAGAAAAAGTCCCAAACCACCCCATGAACACCCAAAGAACCAAAATTAGTTTTGATCTCTCTACTAAAGAAGGGGGGATGGGGTAAGAAATCTTCCTAGACGTAACCAGTTCTTGCTCTTCTGATCTACAATCATCTGGAAACAGTCAGCAGGCTCGCCTGTCCCCACTGTCCCTTCCCTCTGCTCCTTCCTGTGACCTGGCTCCTGTTCTTGCCAAGTCTGGGGAGCCACCCAGTCAAGGACATTAACAGGCCCCAATGGGCAAAGCCCAATGACTACACAGCCACAGCTTGCTTGGAGACGGCTCCAGCATCTGCCAGTGTACACTCCTTCTCCTTCTGCTTCCCAATGCTCTCTTCCTCAACACTCCTTTTGTGGCTCTTCCTCCTTATCCCTTTCCTAATCACCTGCTTCCCAGGCTCCAACCAGTTTTCTCTCCTATGACACGCCTTACTAGCCATCCGCGTCCTCTTTGTTCCACTGGCTCCCTCCCAAGACAGAAACCTGGGAGCCCTTCTTGATTTTCCCTTCTGTCTTTAGGATGCCATCTCCACATTTTAGACTCTTGTGTACTCAGAATGTTTTATGGCAGATCTTCTGTATTCCAGCAGGTACTATGTTTATTGTTTCTCATTTATTATAATGTTCCTGCCCTGATAAGCAGATCTTCCCAGTACACTCCCCAGGGAGGTATTAATTACTAAACTGTATGTCATGCTTAAAACCTTGCCCTAGCTGCATGATCCCAGACTGGATCACTATCAAAACAAGTAAAGAATTACATTAACATTGAGTTTCACTAATAGGACATGGTAGCTAGATAAGAGAAGGTTCTTGCTCTTAGAAAACAGAGGAAAACAACAACAACAACAACAACAAAGAAATTATACATTAACTAGTTAGGAGAGAGTTAAGCAAATAATTTAGGGAAAAAACAACAGGCTCATAGACACTATAATTAAGCAAAATAGTTGGTAAACCTGAGTAAAGAGTATAAAAGAATTCTTACAATTCTCCAATTAGCTCAGATCATTTGATATAAATATTTTGAAAGTTTTCCATATTTCCTACCACATTTTGGGTGAATTTCTGAACTTCTCAAGTAGACTCCACAATCTGAATCCTGTGTACCAAACTCTACTTGCATTCATCAAATAACGTTGCCCACTCCACTCTAATGCCCAGCACACATGATTACTGAGTACATTTCTTGGTTCTAATGTGGCCCCTTATCTGTCATGATGCTGCTCAAGCCTCTTAGGGATAGTGGTGCAGCTGTTCCCTCCTTTCTGACCCCTCTACATATCATATATATAGTTTTACTTCAGCCCCCCAGTGCCTCAGTGCACTTCTGTGGTTTATAAGTCTAGATACAAGCCTTCATGTGTGTGAACATGCACCTCTCCTCCACACACATTTCTGGTAATTGTGTGTTTTAGTTCTACCGCCTTATAGATAACAAAATAATAAATAGTACAGGCTTTAGATTCTGCCTGGAGAGATCTGACTTATAATTCTACAACAATTATTTAGTTTTTTAAGTCTCTGGGTCTGGACACTGTACTGGTTTGTCAACTTGACACAAACTCCAGTAACCTGGGGAAGGGGAAACGATAATTAAAGTATTGTCTCCATCAGATTAGTCCGTGGGAATATTTGTAGGGTATTTTCTTGATTAAAGATTGATGTAGGAGGACTCAGCCTACTGTAGGCACTGCTACCCCTGGCAGGTGGTCCTGAGTTGTATAGGAAACCAAATGGAGGGGTTGGAGAGATGACTTAGCAGTTAAGAGTGCTGGCTGCTCTTCCAGAGGTCCTGGGTTCAATTCCCAGAAATCACATGGAAGCTCACAACTGTCTATAACTTAGTCCCAGGAAACCCATTGCCCTCTTCTGGCCTCTGCAGACTGTGCACAGACATACATGTACGTACACACACACACACACACACACACACACACACACACACACACACACAAAACCCATATACATAAAAATACTTACATTTTTGAAAATGAAGGAAAACAAAAACAACAAAAGCCAAAGCAAATGGAGCAAGCCAGAAAACAGAGTTCCTCACAGTCTCTGCTTTAGCTCCTGCCCCAGGGTCCTGCCTGGAGTTCCTGCCCTGACTTCCTTCAGGGATGAACTGTGACCTGGGAGTTCTAAGATGAAGAACAGCCTTCCCCACAAGTCTGCATAGGTTTTTATCACAGCAATAGAAAGGAAGCTAGGACACACAGTACTTGAAACAGCACATCTATTACTGCTCTCATCTCTCTCCCCTCTAGGAAAACCTACAGTGAAGATGGCTTGAAATCTCAAAATCTGTAAATTACACACTTCTTAAAATGCTTTTCTTTCTATCTCCTTAATGTCACTTTCAATCAATTTGAGGAGTAGAAAAATGCATTTATTTTTCACCGGCTAGAAAAACCTCTTGTGTATCAATTTCTCAACATTTAAAAATATTTTATGTTAATGTTATTTTATAGTGGTTTTATACACAGTTCATTTGCCAACTTCAAAATGAAATAAAAACAGCGACTATCAAAAATAAGGCAAAAATTTACTAAAACAGAGGATTCTAATCCCAGGATTTCAAATGTTCAGATTACTGAAAACAATGAACTACTTCAGACTGCTAATAAAAAAATCTGAAGACTATCTGTTAAAGAAACTGAATCCACATGATAATTTCCTAAACTCTCACATGTGACCTGTTTCCCTTTACTTATGACCCAAATGTAACTAACACTAGCAAAAAAGGCAAGCTTTCCTCTCAAAAAGGCACAAAGGGATAAAAAAATTTTTAAAGTCTATGAAACGGTATTGTCAATCAGAGCAATTTTTTTTCTTTTTTTTTTATTTATTTTATATAACCAAGTCCATTTAAATGAAAACAAACATTTATAGACAATATTTGGGAATTTGGGCATCTGACTCCAATTTTTTTTTTTCTTAAGAAACTTTATTAAACTGAAATCAGGGTGGTAGTGGTGCATACTTTTAATCCCAGCACTCAGGAGACAGGCAAATCTCTGTGCATTTAAGGCCATCCTGGTCTACAAAGCTACACAGAGAAACCCTATCTCAAAAAAATCAAAAAGAAAAGAAGGAAGGAAGAAAATCAAATTTGAATATCACATCATAAAAAACGGAGAACCATTATAGAAATTTCCTTTACAATTAAAATATAATTTTACTCTATGAATAAAGAAATAAAAGGAAAGGAAAAGACTTGACTGCTTTTAGATATGGTAGAGGAGGAAGTTTACTGTAGATAAAAAGAGAGTGTAGGTAGAGGAAGGGACATCTTCAAGAGTTCTGAGTGGACAGGACCAGGCTGAGGTAGATAGGTAGGTAGGTAGGGAGGTGGGTGTGGGCGGGGGGGGGGGGGTGGGAGAGGAGGTTAAAGGTACAAAACAAGGGGCAGGTAACCAAAATGTCTGGATTACATAGGAAGAACCTCAGGTGGAAAGGCAGCTCAGCCCCTGGGCTGAAGAGATCAAGGTAGAGGTGGAATATGCCAGCCATATCCTGTAACAGGTAGGGAACTGAAGGATACTGGGACAAACTGGAGGCCAGGTCTGCTGTGATATGTTAAATAGGCACCTCAGCCCCTTCTCCTGGGTTTGAAGCATACACTCTATAAGTGGTTGAGTACTAGGCATATAGCTCAATGAGAGAGTACCTGCACAACATGTGCAGCGCCCAAGAAAAACAGACAAAATTACATAAAACACAGAAACACAAGAGTGGATAATGACCCATAATCCTAGTAGATGGGGGTTAAGATGCAGAAGGTTGAAGTGTTTAAGGCCAGCATAGTCTACCCAGTGAGTCTGAGGCTAGGTTGTATGAAACCCTATCTCCAAACAAAGAAACATACATACATACATATATACATACATACATAGCAGGAGGTGCAGTGTAGAGAAAAGGATGTCAGTCTAAGTCTAGAAGAACATAAGCTTTATATAAGGAGTGTGAATAGATAAATGTGGCTAACATATTTTAGACCATGTAAATCACCTTACTGAAGTTACTGTTACTCATGGTAAGATTAACATATTGCAATCATACATAAAATGTTTATTCCCTACTCGGGTTCAGGAGCACATAAAATTAAGATGTGATTTTAGCTAAGAAATAGCAGGATAATGAAGATGGTTAGGACAGAGGGATTGTACTGAATTACCTTTCCTGCTTCAGAGCATATTCCAACATTTTGATCCTCCTCACAAGATCTTTCTTCAAGTTTTCTTGACCTTTCCTCTCCCCTTGAAGGAAGGCAATCTGGGCCTAGAAGGGAGAGAAAGGCAAAACTCTGTTCAGAACAGCTACATTTTTTAAAAAAGAACTTTTAGAATAGCAATCAATACAAGTACTTTTCAAGTCTGTCCAAATGTAACTAAAGAAGTATTAACTGAAAGGTGGAAAGCCCTAATTTAAAAAAAAAAAAAAAAAACTATCCACAGGAGACCTATGTGCAGTTTATTTAGGGTGAGAGATGTTATGGCATGTGGTCCCTATTTTCCCTATGGACCTACAAAACAACGGTACAAAGCAGATGTGCAGTTTGCCCAAGGTATAAAATACCTTGGAAGACGTTTCATTTTTATAAAGAATGAAGCCAGGAAAATAAAATGGCAAGAATTCTTATAAACTCTTCCAAATTAAGAGTTTTATTATCAAGATGAGGAGAGTTATAATCCCTCAGCATGGGAGGGAGGGAGGCCCCCTTATGCTCTACCTCTCAGTGAGGAGATAAGAGCAACTAGTGGATGGTGAGGAAGACACTGGTAGTTACCAGGGCTTCAGTGGATGACCCAACTGGACGCTGTGGGTAAGACATAAAATTGTGAGGAAGATAGGATATTATGATGGAGACTAGTATGGGGGTGGGGGGGGGGGAGAGGAAGGAATGGAGTGGGGGATAGGAATGACCAAGACACATCGTACACATGTATAAAATTACAAAAGTTTCATGATATACCCGAATTTCAAAGGAGAATCCTTAACTTAATTCTAGACTTACCCTACAAACAATAAATAGCTCTCTTTCCTCATCTCCTTTAAGGAAATGTAATATGTAAGAGAAAAGAGAGACTGGAAAAAAGACAATCAGATGCCAGGTCCTCAGCACATTACTGTTGCTCCCGAGTTACAACAATCTAGCATTTCACAGCAGCTCTCAGCTTCAGGAAGAAAGTGACAGGAAAGAGCAGCTTTTGGGAACTGAAAGACGAGGACTAAAGTGACATCTCTGCCTAAAGAACTGCAAGCATTGGAATACTAGTGTCCAAGCAGTTTGTATCCCTACAACAGCAGGCAGACAGGCACTCATCTCAGGTGTGTCAAAGATAACCACCATTTACTGTTGGCACGTGTTCCACTCATCCACTTCGATTGTACCAACCCAGAGACATATAGCGCTGTTATTTGTATATGAGTGTTATTTAATTTAATTGAGACTCAATTCTTATTTAGTACCAAAATGAACATAAAATCCAATTTGGTACTCTTCTCATAACCTTCCAATTTTAAATAGGCTACTATGATGTGTTTATTTTCATTTCAAAAAGCTCTTAAAAGTTAATTTCAATTAAAGAACATCTTCCTTATTAAAATAATTAAAAGATTGACAACTCAACTGTATATTGAAATAAGCCATCAAATCAGGATGAACAGCAGAACATCCACAATATCCACTCACACCCTGAAGATTATAAAATGCTTTAAATATATAATGGCTGACAGAAAGCTCATCAGAAGAACAGTTCAGCCCAACTCATTCAGCCAAGTCACCAATCTTGTTGTCAAATGTGTATACTTAAATGGTAGCAAAAAGAATTAGCCTAATCAATATAATAAAGAAAAGTAATAATAACATAATCGACAACTTCATCATCTATATTCTTTGGCTATTTCTGAATTTCTAACATTGATCCTGGATGATTCTATAGTTCAACATATAACAAAGTCAGTGGCTGAGTCTCAAACCCACTTGCTTCACTACTCTTATCAATTCACACATGAGTCCAGTTAAATAATCAAAACAGAAGAACCCAGACTTGTTAGTGATTGTACAGAAATTGGCAGTGCATGGGAAGCAAACCTGAAAGTCACGGAGGCATGGTCAGACATTTATAAGACATTCTTATAAAGGACGAAGGAAACATTGAGGAAATCCAACATAGAATCTATTCTCATCAATCTTCATGTGATCTTCCAAAGAGTGAATTTGCCAAAGTCACAGAAAAATGATTCCAGGCTGAAGAACTAAAGAGACCAGAAACCAAACGAAATACATGATTCTGAACTGTAATGCATTACGCAGATATTAAGACAGATGGTAAAGAAAGAATGGATTAGAAAGTACTAATATATCATGTAATGTTCTGATGCTCATGTTCTGAGTTAAACAGGATAATATTTGTTAGTAGCAAATAAATACAGGTATTTGGTTTGAGCCAATGAACTATCAGGCTAGCTGGCAACTAGCCTTTATAGTCCAGGGAAAAACAAATTCTTTGTATGGGCCTCTCAATTTTTCTTTCAGCTTAAGATCTTTCTGGTTGGCTTTCTTTAAAAAACTGAAGCACAATAACAACTTTGAAAATAACCAGTTTCATCTCAACTGAAAAGCCAACATATACAACAGAAAAAGATAGGAGTACTGAAACTAAGAAGCAAAACAAAATATCCATTTCAACATAATCATTTTACAATGTGCTAGAGGTGCTGACAAAAGCAGTTTTGATTAAGGAAGAAATAGGAATAAAAACAGAAAGAAGAAATTCCATCATTTGCAAATAAATTCCAAGGAAGCAGACATTAAAAATATTTGTGGGTTTGTTTGGTTGTTGTTGTTTGTTTGTTTGTAGTTATACTCTCCCCTAAGGGGTATAAAAAATGACATGAACTAATAAAATTTCATGTTCTTAAATAAATTCAACATTATATGATTTTATTTCTCCCAAATTAATCTTTAAATGTTTTGCAAGCCACTAGCAAATTAATGAAAATCTTAAAAAGCCAGATAATTCATTCTAAAATTCACATAGAAGTAAGCAAGCAAAAATAAACAGAAAGCTACTTAAAAACTTTATCCCCGGGCAACTTGGATCTCTGCATAAAGAAATCCCAAAGAATAACCAAAAAAAAAAAAAAAAATTAGGATCTGGAGAGATGGCTTCCAAGAACATGGTAGAAGGAGAAAGCCAACTCCTCCAAGTTGTCCTCTAACCCCCACAAGTGCTATGAATACCTTAAATTTTTATGTTTACTTAATTGCATGTGTATGAATGTTTGCTTGCATGAATGTATGTGTACCATGAGCATGCCTACATGCCTAGTGGGGGTCAGAAGAGAGTACTGGATCCCCTGGAACTGGAGTTTCAGACAATTTTAAGTCATTGTGCGAGTGTGGGAATCAAACCCAAGTCATCTAAAAGAACAATGAGTGTTCTTAACTGCTGAGCCACCTCTCCTTCCCAAAGCTCCAAATATTTAAAACACATTATAGTTCTACAATTACTCTGAAAGTCACATCTATGGCATAGAACAATCTAAAACGAGCTCAGTCTTTAAAACTGAGATGTGCTGTAGGAGTACAGTGTAGCTCAATAGCAGAACATATGCTTTGCCTTAGTCTCCAGGGCTAAAAGAAACTATACTATTTCCTTCCTCATATGAAGGTATAGGTACATGTATATGTGTGCAAGGATATGTGCACACTTACATATGATGGTGTGCAGATCACATTGTGTGTGGAGGCCACTGGCTAACATTGGTTGTTATTCCTAAAGTGTATCCTGAGCCATAAAAGACTAATGAATGTCACCTAAATTTTTAAAACAGTAATTAAATGTTGCTTAAAAAAGTATTTTGGAAAATAGGATATTTCCTGTAAAACATCAAAACAAAATTAAGGATTCCACAAATCACAAGAGTTCATTTTTATAAATATACACAGAATACCTACAAATCAGTACCACCACCAAGAATTCAATAAAAAAGCAAAGACTGCATAGACAGAAATCTAGAAGGCTCAAATATACTAAACAGATGTTCAGGGCTAGAGAAATGGTTCAGTGGTTAAGAGCACTGGCTGCTCTTCCAGAGGTCCCGAGTTCAGTTCCTAACAACCACATGGTGGCTCACAACCATCTACAATGAGATCTGATGCCCTCTTATGGTGTGCAGGCAAACATGAAGACAGAATACTGTATATATAATAAATAAATAAATCTTTTTTAAAAGTTCAAACTTTTGTGGGTTTTTTGTTTTGTTGGTTTTGGGGTTTTTTGTTTGTTTCGTTTTGATTTTCTAAAATTTTCTTTGGGGGTGCTGCAGGAGTGAGGGAGGATGTGGAGGGACTGTAAGGTGAGCATTGGAATTGGAGTGCATGATGTGAAATTCCCAAAGATTCAATAAGAAATTATGTTTAATTTAAGGGAGGGAGGGAAAGAAAAATATCACAGTAACAAAAGAAGGCACAGTGGCACATGCCTGTTGGCCCAGCAAATAGGAGACTGAAGAGTCAAAGTTTGAGACCAGCCTACCTCAAATAGACAACAAGACCCAATCTTAAATGAGTAAACATCTATTAGTTAGTTAACATAAAATCCCATTTCTCTTTATTGTGACTTAGTCCCTAATCCACCAACTAGCCTAGACTACACAAGTTCAATATCAGCTTAGGGAAACACCAAGATCTGACTCAAACTAACAATAACAACAACAGTAACAATAAATGATGGAAAATAGACATTTATTCTCATGATGTGATATGGATCATATTCCCCTTGTAATGGGTAATATCTATTAGTCTGCAAATACATAGTCGATAAACCAGCAATTTTAGAATGGTATCATACATGTATATTGGCACATATGTGAAATGGCAGATTACAAAACAGACAAAACTGTATGTATGGTGCATTGTGTATCAGGTTAAAAGTACTAGACCTCTGAGAACAGAGAGATGGTACTGTGAGAGCAACAACAACCCTGTCAATCTTCTTCCCTTGGAAAACAGTCTTAAAACATACGGCGCTGCCGCTGCATACAAAAGCTACTTTCTTCTGTCAAACTCACAGGCCTCAAGCACAAGTGCTATATCTCTCTCTTTTTTTTCAGCATAAATCACAGATAAAGACTGCCAAGATTTCACAATGTACTTTTGTCTAAATTGGATTATTTAATTAAAAGGGGGCAGAGCAGGACACAGAAGGAAGAAAACGGGAAAGAAGGGGAAAATGAGAGGAGAAAGAAAACAAACAATACTATGTGGCTGT